CTGAGCTGAAATAGAGTCAGATGCTTAACCAACTGAGCCACCCAGGCCTCCCTCCAACCCCAGAGCTTAATTCTTAACCTCTCTGCCATCTCTAATCAATACTGAGGGTCCCATCAAGTCTTAGAGTTTAAAATGGCACATTGACTACTCCCAAGAATCTCTTTCCATCCTGGACCTGTTCTCTGAATCCCAGACTTGTATGTTCAACTTCCTGGCAATATCTCATCAGCATGCAATCCTAACATACCCAGAAAAGACTTCTGATTCCCCCAACTACACTTGCTCCTCCTACAGTCTTCATCTCAGAAATGGCAATTCAATCTTTCTAGTTGCTCAGAGCTAAACCCTTAGAGTCCTATCTTCTTAAATCCCAACATCAATATATTAACAAATCCTGTCAGTTTTACTGTGAAAATACTATATGCCCAGAACCTCACCACCTCCCATCACCAACACTGCCAATGTTCGGATCCAACTTTCCCCATCACCTCCTACCTGGATTGGCACAACAGCCTGCTAACTGGGCACTCTGTTCCTGCTTCCACCTCCCTTTAGGTCTACACCCATCCTAGCAGCCAGATACTGTCAAAAAGTAAATCACATCCTATCACTCTGTTGCTCGGACTCCACCAATGACCACCCATTTCATTCAGAATAAAATCCAAGTCATAACAACAACCTACAAAACTACAAGGTGAAGCTCCTGTCATTTCTCTGACTCCCTCACACACTCCACAGCTGAACTTGCTGCTCAAGAGAGTAGGAAGGCACCAGCCTTGGAACTTGGGTGAACCACCTTCCTGGGACACTAGTCCCCAGATATAGAATGATGATGATATGGCAGGACAACAGGTATAAACTGAAACTATCCCAGGCAAAGGGAGATGTGCAGTCCCCTGTCCAGACAAGCACCCAGGCTCCCACCCTCCACCTCTGCTCAAATACCATCCTATCAGAGAGAATTACCAACCAACCTATGTAACAGAGTAACGTCTGCTCTTTCTGCTTTTCATGTTCCCTTCATCCTGCTTTATATTTCTCAATAACTTAACAGTCTCTCTGCCCTTTATTTTTTTTTTAAATTTTATTTATTTATTCATGAGAGACACAGAGAGAGACAGAGAGAGAAGCAGGCTCCATGCAGGGAGCCCGATGTGGGACTCGATCCGGGGACTCCGGGATCAGGTCCTGGGCTGAAGGCAGATGCTCAACCACTGAGCCACCCAGGCATCCCTCTCTCTGCCCTTTAAATGTTAAGTACCTCTGGAGGATTAAAATAATTATTAATTTAACATGACTAAATTAAATCAGATAAAAACTTGCTCATGCAACATTTCTAGTATACCACAAAAAAGATGTTGAAGAACAAATATAGTTATAAATGATCTTACCAAGTACATAAGTATTATTGGGATGGCAGGGGAAAAAAAGGGAGAGGAATTTTTAAAAAAATATCTTAATACCAGCCTTAGAAAGAAGAAAGTTTCACTACTTTTAAGAATTGCTAGGAAGTTTGAGAGCAAGAACTCACACTGAGCGTCTGGCACTCACAAAGAAGCATTCAACACACAGGAGCTTTAATTATTGGAGAAACGGTTTTGTCCACAGCTTAAGATATACAACCCACATTTTCTGCAACGCAAGCATTTCTAAACATATCTTTCTCGAGTGTTTTCTTCCTACCAAAAAAAAAGCCACCATCATAGCACGCATTAAAACATTACCTTCATCTTCTTTTTAATTATTGAAGTATAATTGACATATGATATTGTGTTGGTTTCAAGTATATAACACTGATTCAACAATACTATGCGTTACTCCAAGCTCACCATGATAAGTGTAGTCAGCATCTGTTACTAAACAACATTATTACAATATTAACTGTATCCCCTATGCTATTTCTCGGACTTCTCATCTCTATGACTTATTTACAGATGGCCAACAGACATATGAAAAGGTGCTCAATATCATTAACCATCAGAGAAATGTACATCAAAATCACAAGGAGATATCACCTCACACCTGTCAGAATAGCTAGTATCAAAAAGACAGAGGTGTTTGTAAAGATATGGAGCAAAGCAAACCCCCATGAACCATTGGTGGTGATGTAAATTGGTGCAATCACTATACAAAACAGTATGGAGATTCCTCAAAAAAGTAAAAACTGAAATACCATATTATTCAATAAAACCACTACTAGGCATTTACCCAAAGAAAACAAAAACACTAACTCAAAGGATAAATGCATCCCTATGTTTATTGCAGCATTATTTATAATAGCCAAGACATGGAAACAACCCAGGTGTCCATCAACAGATAAATGGATAAAGAAGATGTGGTACATACACACACACAAACCAATATTTTGGCCATACTTGGCCAAAAAAAAGAATGTAATTTCACCTTCATCTGGAAGCAGCAAATGACAGTATACCTGTGGGTATATACTGTGGGTACGAATGTGTGCATATGCTTACATATTGTAAATGTACTTTAGGTAACTTACGATGGAGCCACCTGTCACTAGAAAAGAGACCAAACTAGAAAAGTAGGTTTTTGTAAAAGAAAAATAGAAAATAAATAGTAACTATGACTTACTAGGAGAATTTGCTGTGAGTCAAAGACTTCTCTAAGCACAGACATCAATCAGGATTTGAACGAAGTCAGGCATTCCAGAACCTGCTTCCTTAACCACTATATGCTATTAAGTCTGACAACTGTTTTGTGCTTTGCCATGAGAACAACAGAAACAAACTTCTGAGTGGCACACAAAGTGTTCATGGTGACTCTACATGTCATTACAAAGTAAAGGATCTGTTGTATGTTAAAGGCCTTTTATAAAATCAACCACATCAGTGAGGTCCCATAGCATTCTGGGTACTCCTGACTCCCCCTTCTTGCCTACAAATTCGCCAGTACTAAATATTGTTTGCTGACGGATTTTCACATCTATTTTTCCATCCTCTTCTATGTTTTTCTCTATATTGCAAGGACTGCAAAGCTAAAGACAGCATTTCCCAGACCCCCTTATTAACAGGATTCAGGGTGGATTCTATCAACAAGATACACTTGTGTAAGATTTGGAAGACAGAAAAAAGAGAGCTATTCCTTTTCACCAGGGGAAGTATACCACATTCTACCCCCGCAGTACCAGCTGCATGGGTGTGGGAAGCTGGAAGATCAGTAGTGATTTCCTCACCTGCTTGGGTTTCAAGGCAGTGAAGGATCATCAAGGAAGAAGATGATCTTACCACCAGTGGGAAAAAAATGCCAGTTATCTATGACAAGCAGCATCAAAGCAGTTATTTAAATTATCATCTATGATATTTTTTCTCTGCTTTTCCAGCCATCCTCTTGCTTCTTCCCTAGAACACCCTACTCTTCTTTCTTTTCTGAGCCAGCTGTTTCCCTAGAGTTCTCAAAATCAGAGACAACTGGCCAAGTTCCAGGAGCAGCAAAGAAAAACTCAAGTGGTGCAGACCTTCAAACTTGAGATTAGTATTTATTAAAGATGACCTGACAGAGGAGGAAGTGGGTTTATCAAATTCTGCTTCTAGACATCAAAAAGTAACTGCGACACCAGACTTGTAAACAGCTAGAAAGTTGGAAACAATAAATATGAAACACTGGACAATAGGAAACTCAGGACTAGGATCCTTTTAAGAAGTGAAGTAAATGAGATGAGCTTGCACTTATATGTGAGATGAAGTGAGAGAAGCTAGATCCAATGTTTCTAATTCTTGGGTCATTTCCTTTGTTTCTCTCTCATCTGCTTCAATCTCAGAGCTCTACAACCTAAAAAGCTCAACTTGGGAGCTTCACAAGGATCTACTATATACCTAATTTATTTCCCTAGCATTCTGCTTTTATTCCATTCCTACCAAATGAAATATTTTGAGAACAGGAATGCCCTCACCCTGAGTAAAGAATGAGGGGCAGGGAACAAAATGAAAGGGGAGGAGGGGAAGGGGAAAGAAGCAAAGGACTCTAGTTAGAAATATGTAATACCCTTTGGAGTATGGAACAGAAAAAAGTACATAGAAATTGTGCCTCTGTTCAACATATACTGAGTACATGAAAGTCATTATACAAAAAGATGATGTTTAACACTGGTTAGGAAGAAGAATTCTTAACAGGTTGCCAAGAGAAACCAAACTTATTTGGTTTCACAAATTACTCCTTGATCTAGGTCAACCAAAAGTCCAAATTTGAACCTATGGCCTTAGAGTGCTATGTAACATCAAAGTCCATCTCTTGGATTCCATAGAACCCCTGGCATGAAAGGAAACTATAGCCTCACTTTACGACCATATGAGAATTAATTTAAGATTGTGGATGCCTTGGAACTAGAGCATCATCAGCAAACAAGGGAGCTCCTGGCACAGATATTCTGGGTGTGCTCATAGGCTATGTAGATTCATTCAAGGGTGAAGCTCCCAAGCCATGGAGCAGTATCTTGCCAATGATGCTTTGGAAAGTACACAGACTCATCCCCTGACTCCTGCCTTTGGAGTCCTGAAGAGGTAGAGCCTGTGTTGGCCTTCACAGTTGGATTCGGGGCCTCCCAGATCTGCAAGTATAAATGTCCTGCACCATATCTCTTTCCTTTCACTAACCCTGTCATCTGCGCTTAGAAGAGGCTTTAAATATACTGCCTGAAGGGTGGTCCTGGGTTCCAAGAAGTAAAGCCCTTGTGATGAATCCTGACAAATGGAATCTCATTGCTCAGATAGTTTCTCCATATCAAACTACTTCCCAGGTCACTGGTTAACCTCAAATCAGTTCCCACCCCTGGTCTCATCAGAGGCTTTAGGGCCTGTACAGGCTTACAAAATGCTCAGAGAACCATGCTGTTCAATCCTCCATGTGGCATTGGAATGTCAGGGGAATTAAGTGTATATGTAGCCTACTCCTATATAAATATATATAATATAATAGAAATAAATAAATGAAGAGTTTAATACAGGAAAAACAAACACTACTTTTGAAAAACCACTTACATCCAAAGAATCTTCCTTCAACAGGATAAGGGCCATATTCTGTGATACCAACCGGCAGGAATATCCTAGAGTTGGAGAAAGAGCAACACAAGTGAGTTAGTTTATCATTCCTTCCATGAATTCATCACTTTTCAATAGCTTTTTTTTTAAGATTGTATTTATTTATTCATGAGAGACCAAGAGAGAGAGGCAGAGACACACAGAGAGAAGCAGGCTCCATGCAGGGCACCCGATGTGAGACTCCATCCCGGAACTCCAGGATCACTCCCTGGGCCAAAGGCAGGTGCTCAACTGCTGAGCCACCCAAGCGTCCCTCAGTAGCTATTTAAATTCAGCCTCCCTTCTTACAGCTTTCTTATTACCTTTTTAAGCCTGTTGGGGAAGACAAAGGAATTGGACAAGCGGCAGGGTAGGAAATATAAGTTCTTTAAGTAGATTTTGATTCTTGCAGACAGCTTGAATAGAGCTAGCTGGGGAAGTCTTCATAACTATTGGCTAAAACAAGTATTTGTCAATTTTCTGTGGATTTTTATTTATGCTTGTATAACATCAGTGTAAGTTTTGAATTATCTTTTAAAAACAGCTAACGCTTTAGGAAGATACATGGAATCTAATGGTGTTTCCAAATCAGCATAAACAAGTCTACCCTATCAAGATTCATTTGTTTGTTTAAAAAATAGGTAACTCTCACAACAGATTTCAAAGGAATACTACGTACATCAAGGGAATCACTTTTCCTACCCAGGTTCAAAGCAGTCCCCACTTCAAGAATTAGTTTAAAAAAAAAACCTAAGTTTTTTAAACCTTAGTTTAAAAAAAAAAAAAGCTTTAGAACAAAAGTACATACTCCAAAACTGATTCTTATCAATAATTTCCATCACATTTAAAAATAATTATCATTATAGGCTAAAGAAGATACTCTTCTACTTTTCCTCTCAGAAGGTGAACATATTTCCTCTGAACCACTTCCCTACTCAGGCTTTGCAATCCACTCCAAAATACCTAGAGACACTGTGTGATACCACAGACCAGGATGAGAGGTCCCCCCCTCAAAGTAGCATACTAGAAAAGAGCAGGTCCAGCAAATCCTAAGACCTGGGATGTCTGTCAGGACTGGACTCTTTCTTTCAAGCTACCCTCGGTGTCCCTTGAGAGAGCTGGCACTTCTCACCAATGTCCAATCTCAATTTATATCATTGCAAGAAAAGAATCCCTCCACCTAGAAAAGTGGCACTCACAGGTTTTTTTTTCCCCCTCAGCACCTGAAGATAAAAGATTAATGATTCTCAGAAACATGAAACGAATCATCAGCACGGAGAATTACAACCTCTGAGCAAGTATCTATCTGGGTGACAATCTCAAGGAAGGGGCTCAACTAGTGCTGTCCCTAAGGCAAGTAGGACCCTGGATCCTCCTCCACAGAACAGCTAAAATATCCATTCCTACAGATGGCATATTTAAGTGGAAAAGGAATCAGGCATTTAACTAATGGCAAGTCCAAGAGCTGCTGCATTTAAGTGACAATTCCACTCAATAGGGCTTTTTGCTATGCTGAGGAAACCCTATTAAAAGGCACCAAATAGATTCAAGACACACAAAAATTAAGACCAAGAAAAACCTTGTTTTGCTGTTGTTGTTTAGGAAGGAGAGAGACAATAAATATTTGTTTATTTTGGAATGTACAAAGTATATTCTTCACTAACAACTGCCATTTCAGAAGAATACTTTGTAGATCACCTCAGAACACAAGTCTTTAAGCACAAACTTACGGTTTTTCATTCAAATATTTTTTAAAGCAATACCATATATAGTCCAGACCGTTAACAGTAGTTACCTCAAGGGAATGAGATTATTTTGCTTGTTAAAACCACTATACATTATCTTAAAAACCAAAACAAACTGAATAATTTAAAATCATAATGCCACATGGGCAAATGCCTGTTTAACCTCTAAGACAAAATAAAGGGAAGAAAGACTAAACAATTTTCTATACATCTTCAAACTTGTCCAAGTCCATATTTTAACAATAATGATGAGTAAAAATGAGACTTTCCCACAATGCCATTCAAAGTTCTGCCTGATAGGACTGACATAATTGAAGTCTTTGTCTACCATTAAAATTTTACAAATGTATTCTTTTTTCCTATCAATTCTTAGATCAGGTCCAGAAGGGAGGTCTACACTTTATTTTCATTTACAATAGGGGATGTTGCACCTTTAATTATATCCCACTATGGGAGGACTACTCCTTCTTTATATCCCCAGAGACCTCAAGCAACTTCATGCAACATAGAATGTTACAAATTTAGTATAACTAACGCAAAAGGATTTGCTAGTAGTTTTAGATTTGAACAACAGCTGCAGAAGTGAGCTGTAATTTTTAAACCCTAGCTTGTTGCTTTATTTTCTATTTTTCAGTTTCAGCAAAATGCTGCTTGACAACTGAAGCTGCACAAAGATATTATGGAAAAACTCTAAGTATTTTTCTAGTCATTGCAGGAGAGGCAAGAAATAAAACCACTGACACATCCATGAATTTAAAAACACAAAACTAAAGGTTTCTGGAAATAGGTTTTGTGTTGTTGTTTTTTTTTTTTAATTTGGAAAATGAAGTGAGATTCTGCTTAGAGAATTATCACACAGAACACCTGCAGTGACAGAACATGGAAGTTAAACACAGTTAATTGTGACTTAGCTAATGTGGCAAATTAAATTATGTCAACCCCAGTTTGGTGTGCTTGATTTCTAATGTTTGTGGATAAAATGAGATCAACTCTTGGAGAAGAGCCAGGTATGAAATGTCAATCCACACTTGTAAATTGAGGTCTAGTTCTTTTAATCTTGCAATCTAAAAAAACGGCCATAAAAATCAATGAGAGAAGAACCTCTGGGATTTCACTTTTTACTGTAGCTGAAATTAACAGCATACTACAAAAGTGTTTAGTCTTTCTACTACCTGAGTATAACCAATATTCAAAGCAATCAAAACATTACAGACTTAATGGTACTTAGAACAGGACTTCATTTTAAGAAAATAATCATCCATGCTAGAAAGTATCACCAAACCAAATCTCTCAGATCTCGCAGTCATTCTCTCTCTCTTTTGAGATAAATTCACATTGTCAAAGATACCCAAATCCAGACTTCTTTGGAGACATTTCTGGAAGGGTTAGGAATAGTTTATCCTTACTAACCATGTATCTTAGGGTCGGTTTAAAAAAGCTACCAATTGCTAGGCTTCAGCATGGTTCTAAACCTTCAGTAAGTGTGTTGGTCCTAAATATTTTCAGAGACAGTCTGATCAATATTTGAGGATAAAGGTATGAAACACATTGCCAGACATCAGGAATGGGTAATGAAAGGTGGTATTCTTAATCTATTCCAGATAGGGTCAAAGAGGCTCAGTACAAAGAGTTCTCCATTATCCAGAGAGCCAGGAAGCTAAGGACTCATCCACAGAACCACATATCTAGGCAGCTTTCCCTCCAGATCCTTCTCAGTACAGCTGCATCACAGGTAAGAGCACATGTCCTCAGCCTTGCCTCACGAACCCACTCCCCCCACCAAACTAGACTGTCCTGACCCATTCTATGCTCAGACTTTTTACTTCATTTTTTTTCAATTTAAATTAAATTAGCCAACACATAGTACATCACTAGTTTCAGATGTAGAGTTCAATAATTTACTAGTTGCCTATAACACCCAGTGCTCATCACATCACATTTCCTCCTTAATGCCTTTTATTTTAAATAAATTCTTGAAGGCTCAAGTTTTAAACCTATGTTATCTATGAAGCTTCCCTGGTCTTTTTTGACTCATATATTTCTCCTTCTGGGAAGTCGATATCAACTGTCACAGGTACATGCTCAGATGTTCAGCACTTTCATAGTCTTTGTCATCTAGGCTAAGTTGCTTGGTATTTCTGTGCCTCAGTTCTATCTTTAAAAAAGGGTTGATGGCTATCTCCAAGGAATCAAATATAAAACTGACAGAACTGAGCACAGTATTTGGCACATTATAGCCAACATTCACTATTAACACTAGTCATGCTTAATATCTATCCTGCACAATTAGTACTGTCTCATCTATTTGACTCTCTGCTTTGTCTCAGAATTAATTCCTGCCCCAATTAGGGAATGTGAGTTCCCTGAGCCTAGAGTACAGCATCTGGCAACAATGCCCCAGCTGCAGGTAATCAAGAAATAACGGGGCTGACTTTTTTGTGAAAAGCAACACTCAGATTGAGACCACCACCAATGTCCCAGCTTCACTAAAAACAGAAATTTGTCTTCCTTTCAGTGGGCAAGGCAAGCTACAGGCAATAATAGGAGGAGCAGGCACCATATTTATTCACTTTTTAAAAAATTAAACTTCTAAGACTGTAAGATGTGGTTTAAAAGTATTAAATGAGTAACAACAATTTAGAAATGGTTTATAATAAAAGCTCTTTCCTACTTAATGACTCCAAAATGAAATACACACTAGGATTTTTTTCTCATTCATCCTACATCCATTAGAAAAAAATTAGAGATTCCATAGACTTCACATCTATTGTATACCTATTTAATAGATGTTTTATTCAGTGGTAATAAGGAAATGACACGATTCACATCTATTGTATACCTATTTAATAGATGTTTTATTCAGTGGTAATAAGGAAATGACACGATTCACAAAAAATTAGAGATTCCATAGACTTCACATCTATTGTATACCTATTTAATAGATGTTTTATTCAGTGGTAATAAGGAAATGACACGATTCACTACATCTGAAATTTCACTTTAGACTAACGGATGCCAAATTTTTAAGCTAAAAAAGAAAATTGCCAACTCCTTGAAACACAGCTAGTTAGCATACATTCAAGCCCAGCACAGCAGGATTCTGGCATCATGCCAGTTCCAAACTACCTAAAACCCACAGGCAAGAGGACTGTCTACATAGTATTCATTGGCTCCTAAGAGACACACAAATACCCTGGAACTTAATTTGACTAAATATTTCCAAGCTACAACTAAAAGTTACATTTTATAAATGTCTCTTAAACTATGATAGATAAATGCAATGCTGAAGACAGTCAACAACCCCAAACAACAAACATACTGTCACCTCTAAAGGTGAACTCTTACTATACGTACACTAAGAAAATGTGATTAAGTTGTAAGAGTCAACAGTCATAAGACATTCCTATTTCAGGGACGTTGACATATGATAACAATGTGCATCCTGGAAGGGCTGAAACACAAGACCATTGTCTCCCAGTCTTCAAATTTCAGAGAACAGTTATATGAAAGCCATGTGATTCTGTTTAAAATGAGCCCTGCAGCAGAAGTGAAGAGTCCTGAGACCTCATACCAACTTGGTCATTAAATAGAATATAACCTTTATAAACACTTAATTTCCCCCCTTGAGCTGTAAGACCATTCGTATGTAGACTAAAGAAGGAATTCAGAAGGCACTCCTAGCAGAGTGCTGGCACTCAGCAGACATCCCATGAATTTGCTCTCTTGTCCTCCTTTCATGGAGAAGTAGAACTGCCAGACACTTGATCTTTCTCCCAAGTATCTTCTGAGTGCTCAAAACTGCAGATAGAATGCACTACAATGTACAGAATATCCAGTATTATGGAAGACAGATCAATAATGGCTCATATTACCCAGGATATGGGAACATGATTAGTAAACAGGCATACAATCCATACTGTATCTGGAGCATGACCTCATGCTGCTTATAGCTGTCACCTGTGGTCTGGCATGGACAAGTCTAATACAACGTCTGGATGTCTACACTTTGCTGAGCCTTCTGCATAATTTGCAGGCTCAACAGATATCCTAAATCAGAAAATGACATTTAATTCCTTGACACTGCCCAGGATTACCAATGAGTTCTGAATACAAAGGGAAAAAGTAATTCAGGCAAAGCTCTTTCAAAGAATATCAGTTCCCTGGCTGTTGGCTGCATACTTAATAACACCAAAGATATGTCTGAATCCTGATACACTAGAAAAAAAAATGGGAGTAGAAAAAAGCCTTCAGAATACAAGACTTCAGCAAAGTCATCAGCTTCATTATATTTATATAATATAAAGGTTTATATTATTATATATAAGCAGGAAGCATCAACTTCTTGCAGTCTTGCACAGAGTATTTGCTAAGAAAGCTCAATTTTAAAATATCCAATGGCCATGAATGCTTCCAGTACTCAAACTACAAATGTTGCTATACTCTCTTTGAAAAAAAAGTACAGAATAATATAACCATTATTTTTACAAAGTCTTTGGTTGGGTATCAATTATCTTGTAAGGCTCAGAGAAGCCTCATGGCATTCGAGTCAAGCTTTCCTTTATGAATTATAAACCCATGAATTCATTTGCTTTCATTTGTGTCCATTCCAAACTCCTCCAGACTCTGATACACTCAGGTATGACAAAGGGAACAAGCAAGAAAAGGGATGTGTGTGCTGCCCAAGGGCAGAGAGGCCATGAGACAGTGGCCTTTTTCCAGCTAGTACAATGCCAGTGCACTCACATTTGCCTTTTTTTTTTTAAAAGATTTTTAAACAATTTATTTGGTAGAGGGGCGAGAACAGGGTGAGGGGCAGAGGAAGAAGTAGCTCTCCGCTGCACAGGCTGCTTAATGCAGGGCTCGATCCAAGGGCTTTGAGATCATGACCTGAGCCGAAGGCAGCCGCTTAACCAACTGAGCCACCCAGGCGCCCCTCACATTTGCTTCTTACAACAAACACAAGAAAGCACTTAAGGAAGGCATCTGGGGCTAGATGCATAAAAAGGTTAGTCCAGCAGGAACATTCAAGCTCTGTTTTCCAGATCTTATCATTACAGTGCAATTTTAACTCAAGGCATTACTCACTTCTTTGATATTGTTCTCAGAAGCAGAAAGCACTCCCCTAAATTTCCAGCATTTCAGGGCAGCGACCAACTTTATGTACCCTATATGAACAACAGGAGCCACATATCAGTAGCAGGTGTTTTAGCCCAAATTTATATGGGAAATCATACCTGAAGAGACAACATATATACATAGAGAGGGGGCCATTATACGAAAAGCAGGTGTTCACCTTCATTTTACAAAACATCACTGACATCACCAAAGGGCTACACACTCTGGGTTTTTATTTTCTAGTAGTAGTGAGGGATCTGCCCAGAAACATGGACTTTTGTCCAGAAACATGCATTTGAAAGACAATACAAATCAATAGACAAAGTCTGTACCTGAAGCTTCAGAGACTGTTTATGAATCACATAACACTCGCCTATGACTTTAATTTTGGTTGTATGGGAGCCCAACTGCATGAGCCCAACCTTGCTAAGAAATGACTAAATGACTCTTGTCTACTAAACAAACAACAAAAAAATTCACTTCAGAGGGTAGGGTCCTTACATACTCATTTTATCACATATGCACCCGGGGTTGTTATGCCATAATGGTGCTAGAAGTACCAGATAACTTTTGAGTAACTTAAATAACCAAAATGAGATCTTTTCAAATTAGTCATTTCAACTCCTTTCACGCTGAAAATGTGCCTCTTTAACATCAATGAAGTTATCTGGTCTTAAAATTCCCTTTCTTCAATTCTCATTTCTGTGATGTTTAGCAAGCAAAGAGGTTACCAATCCAGACAGGGAAGGGAAGGAAAGATACAACATTCTTGGAAGACCCATTAGCTGGTAAAATAATTCAAGTACTTATAATTATTTAAAATTATAATGCATATTAAACTTAGCAAAAACATGATCTCAGTCTCAGACTAGAATTTTGTGAAGAAAGCAGTAAGAAAAAGTCATCAAATCTTGAATTCTGTATCCTATATAAATAAATTTGTTTAATACATTTCAGGGAGATACAATAGTTTTAATGTTACAGGCAGATAATGCTCACTAAAACATCTTCATTTGATTTAGGTAAACTTTTCTTGGCCTTAAAACATCATCTGTCAATGCATTTGAGGAAACCTTAGGCACTTTTAAAGATGTTTTCAAAACAATACAAAACCAGCATCAGGAAATTTTAAAATTAATTACCTATATTAATTGCAGTTTCCTGTTTATCTCCTGTCAACACCCAGATTTTAATTTCTGCCTTCAACAGCGTTGCTATGGTTTCTGGAACACCTGCCTGAAGGCGATCTTCTATGGCTGTGGCTCCAAGTAACAGTAAATTCTAGATAGAAAAAGAACTTAAATTAATGACTGGTCCATACTTAAGAGCAACATTAATGACAAAACTGATGCCAAAAGGCAGTCAAAATATTCTAACAGTTCTCTTATTTCTTCTACATTAAAACTTTGTTTGCAGATAATTAATTTGCTGATAACTTCATGTGTGGCATTTCAAAACTATTTGCAATGTTAGAACCACTCGAGACACATAGGCAACCCAGCATTCATCATGTATTTCTTGGTCCCTGGGCATGTTAGAAGAGAAATCACCTAGCAGTAAAGACTATGGGCCAGTCATCCCAAGGACATTCACAGTAGGTAAGCCCTTCCCTCTCACTCCACTGATGAGTAACATACATATTATATTCTGGTTGACACAGGAGAAAAACTGATTCTACATGATAATACTCATCTGACAATACAAGCCTAAGAGACAGGTGATGCTAACAATTTAACAGCAGAGAAGAAAATATCAAATTATCTTAAGATTGAGGAGCCATCAAATGTGGCCCCTGTTATACTTCTTCCAGGCCCATGGAGGGCCAGCTCACAGTGAGGATGGGTATGGATTCACAAGGATATGGAGATGCATCAGCAGCCCTGACCTTGCCTGCTGGTCTGACAGGTTGCAGAGCCCCTGCACAGAGGGCTGTTAAGCACTCACCTACCTCCCGAGTCCTCCTCTGATAGGGCATCATTGCTTGATTTCCCAACTGTGGGTAAAGAGTACCTCCTGAGCAGCCACCACAGGCTTGGTGCCGCACGGGACCATCACCTAAGCAATCGTTTTCTGATTCTAAAAGTAATTTTGGTTATTTCCAGTGAAGCGGAGCAAACGAACACTTGAATCCAGCTCTACTCCTACCAAATTCCATTAAAGTGACAAACAAGTAAATATAAAACTTAAAAATGTAGTATAAAAAAAGTCAAGAGTAATTTTAAAAAACACAAGGAATAATAGAGTTCTAGAAACTGGAAGGAAGATGAATGGGCCAGTGGTTGCTGATATGAAACAGGAAAAGGTAAAGTCCAGCTGCCAGATTTGAGGGAATCTGATACCTAGAAAGCTACCTAATGCCTTGGGATAAACTGCAAAGAGCAGCAACAACAAGGAAATTCAAAGTAAGCAATGTGGAGTAGCTATGGCAAAGGTGGCTATTATTAGAGTAAGTGTGAAAATGCTTAGAACGAACAATGTCCAACCAGCCTACACATTCTGAAGGCTCCTGTAACTCAATAGGGTGAGCAATCTCATTAAGCCTAACCTGAGGTAAGCCCTGAAAGTCACTGACACTGTTTTTGACCTGATACTTCTTAAGATACCATTAACGCTTAGCTAAAGGTGCTTCGACCTCTCAGGTAGCCCATAAAAACTAAGTGTTTCTTAAAGCAAGAAAGACATCATTAAAAGCCAATGGCTAAGATCTGCACAGGAAAAGGGAGTGTGGCCATATGGCAAAATGATTCCTGTCCAAAGACTTTGTTCAGTCCTTGATGGAGCCCCTCACTGGGCATGCAATGACTGTATCGCATGTAATTACCCTCTCTATGATCTCATAGCACTCTTCCAACCGTTGAGCTCTGTCTTTCAATATGGTGCTGGCTTCTTGATAGACTTTCAGCCACTCTTCATACTCATGCTCGGAGAGGTCAGTGTAAGCTACACAGAGGGTCCTCAAGCCTGCAAAACAGCCACAGTGTATCCAGCAATGGAAGCAAGCAGTTTACTTTCCCTCCTAGGTGACATCATGAGGCTCCATTTTATACCAGCATGCTCAAAAAAATTGAAGAAACTATCTGCTTGTTTAGGTCACTCTAATTCAACTTTCACACATCTAAAAAGGGAGTTGAAAAGAGCTCTACTTCATTTTGTTATAAAGCCCCTGGTGCATAAATTTGAGAGTATGTGAGAAGCCACAGAGTGAATTCCCCACAGCAGAGAAGTACAGGAGCTGGGCATGAGCCTTATGCACATGCACCCTTACATGCAGTGGGCAGGTAGCAGCAAGTAGAGGAGGCAGGAGGTACATTTCAAGACAGTAATAAAAGCTCAGTGTGCCATTATGTGAAAGATCCAGGCTTTCAAGCAGATATACATGTGCACGCGCACACACACATGCACACACACACGCACATAGCTGCAGGACCGCACGAAGTTGAGAAAGCGGCCGTCAGCACTTAGGCAAGGCTCCAGCTTTCATCATATTCACTTGCTGGAAACCCTGACATCAGTGTTATTTGAGGCCTTTCACAGAACTCCCTTCCTGTTCTCTATGGGCTCAATGAATTATTGTTTCCTCAAGTCATGGATAAGCCAGTGTCATAAGGATAACATGAGGAGGACAGGGAAACAAGCACATGAGTTTTCTGAGAACAGGAATAACTACAAAGTGATTCTACCCATCATGAGCTGGGCTGCTCGTTCCTTTCATACTTCTGATGAAGTTAGCAGAGTCACATATAGGTAGCTGAGTGTAGACTCTGGTGCACATCTTGTCACTGTCATAGGCACAGAGCATGGGCGGGGGGGGGGCACTAGAAAAGTATACTCCTACGAAGCAAACCAAGTACTGCAAAAAAGGAACACATCCATTCAGAACATGACTGCTCACCCCAAGCATCAGCTACAAACACGTGAAAGTACAATTTCGATGGAAAAACATTTCCAAATTTCACTTACCTTCTGTGGCAAAATATTCCAGGTGGCACAGTGTTTCCTCCATGTATTTTGAGTCTTTTGAAAGTCTGTCAAAAATGACATTATCCTATAAAATAGAGAAACATTGTGACTGGCAATCCCTTAAGTAAGCCTTCCAGTCAGTATTCTAAACCTAGCTTTGTTTTAATGGAGCTTATACAGTGTGCATGAGAATACTTGAGTGGGCAAGTAGAAATACAGCCTTGACCAGACTCAGTCGAGTTTTGGAAAACACACTGGATAGGGATGTGTCCAAACAAAAACTTTTTGGGGAGAACCTTAAGTGTCAAAAGAATTATCGGGGACATAATGGTGCCTACATTTACCTAAATTTGCATAATACATGCCTATGTTTATAACATCTTTATGCAGAAATGGGAAGAGTAACATGCACATCCTAAATTGCTCAAATATACTCTTGCTTCCTGACACTGCAGGAGCTCATAACCAGGGAGTACACAACCCACTAGCCACTGAACACAATTCAGCTAAGGAACACAGCTCAGGATGAAAAACCAAACCACAACTAAGAAGAGCTGCTAGAGAACACACACACACACATGCATGTACACACACATATACGTAAAATCTGAAAGTACTTGAAGATTATCACAGGTCATTATGAATTATTCTATCTTTCCAAAGTCATAACACACTGGTGATGAAACTAGAATCAGAAATCATGATCCAAGGATTTCTCACAACACAGAAAACTGCTATTTCTGAAACCAACTATTGGCTAAAAGCAAGCTTTTCATGGGCCATCATTGCTACACTGGCCTGAACTACCACTACTACTACCCTTCAATGGGCTTTTACTTCAAGTCAATTTTATGGCCAATCTGAAAGAGTCTTTCAACTTTGGGCAAAGTCTCAGGGCGTAATGAGGACAGCGGTCAGGAGAAGCAGCAGATAAACAAAGTAGCCAACAGGGGTGTCCTGCTATGTGAGCTGGTACTTACAGCCCCCTTACAATAGAGTCGAAGTTGGCCTGAAGGAGTTCGAACAATTACAGACATTCTTTTTCTGTCACTGTAAGGGTTAAAAAGAAGAGAGAGAGAGAGAGAGAGAGAGAGAGAGAGAATAGTTGTCATTGGTCTGTATTATAGGACCCATGCCCTATGATTAAGCACCAGACAAATCTAAAGATGATCTGGCCATCCTAAAAATGGCAAAACTCCAATTTCCTTACCTTTTCCTTCAAAGTTGAACTTTAAGTGTATATCTACTACTCTTTTTATTTCTATATAATGGACATAAACCTATTTTTTTCCCTGCCATGAAAACTTGCTAGTATGGTTATTTATAGCAGAAGAGCAGAAACGGAAAATGTGACCATTTACTATGCACATCTAATTTACTTCTGATAATACTCTATACAGGTATTATTTTACAGCTCAAAATGTTAGTAATCTGCCCAGTAAGTAGCAGAGTGGAAGCTTCAATATAAATCCACTTAGTTCAAAAGTCCCTGTGTCTTCTTTTAACTGGAGTAGAAAAAAAATTAGAAATGTATAGAACACTCCTGATTCAGCACGGAGGTGTGCCTTATTACTGCCCTCCCTACTGCAACACGGACACTCCTGCACTCTTCTTTCATTGTGACCCATGCTCACTCATGGAGCCTTCGATGGCTCCCCACTGCCTACAGATTCCAACTCTTGCTGGCCTCCACTCACCTCTGCAGCCTGGCCTCAACCCCCCACCCACTTACCCTCCCATTCATCTGCAGACTTCCAGCACACCAGGACACACACCACACTCCTCCTCTACATCCTGTCCCTGCCTTTTGCAGACGTTTCATCCTCCTGAGACACATCCCAACCACAGTGGGCCCCAGACCAACCACCCCAGTCACAGGATTTCCAATGGACTCTTCGCTCCCAAGACTGAGCGATTCTCTCTCCAGCTTTGTATAAATCCCCACATCCTAACCCATAGCACTCTGTCTGGCCTGGCTTTGAATTCCTCCCTCAGCTAGCTAGTAGCCAGGTGCTCTCAAACACAGTTGTTCACCTGGCATCTCAGTTCCTGAATCTATAAAGCAAGGCTGCCACTAAGTACTGTGAAGGAGTGCTGTCAGCATGAGGTTGCATCTGGAAAAAGTGGAGTTAACTAAAAAGAAGTAGAACCACAGCTATAACTACCAATGACCTTTCTACTTCCTCATATTCTCCCAGAAGTTTTTAATACATCCTCATGTTTTTATCTGGATTCACCTGTTTTCATCTAACTCCTTCTCCCTGTAATAACTGCTGGTCCCAGCTGCCACAGCCACATAACAGCACAGTCATCAGGACATCAACAAGAGATGGAGCACAAGTCTGGAAAAATGTCTACAATGTCCCTTACCTATACACACAAGGACAGTGGCCCTACTCCCCTACAGGAACCACTACTGTTATCAACCATCATGTTTTCCATCTCAACACCCATCCTCAAGGGCTCTTGACCCACCAAAGCTTCAAGTTTTCAGTCCTACAACCAATGACTAGGGCTGGAAAGCATTTCCCACAAGAGGGTTAAAAGTTGATCTTTTTCAGATAGTTTATAAAGCAGATAGCAAAAATAATGTGTGAATTGTTTAACAATGGTTATTGGAAAAACCGATTTTAATCAAGGGGAAACATGCCTTTGAGGTAGCAACAGAACCTTGCTCTAGTATTGACAGTTCAATGATAAGAAGGAAAGAAACAAAACATTAAGATTTTTTTGATGACAAGGGAAACAAATAATCCAACAAATATTCCTGGGCCTTAAATAAACCACACTAGGGGAGAACAAGCTTGAATATATACAGGAGAACTACCCAACTTGGACAAAGCCTCTGATGGGATGGACTGATCTTATCGGTCTCTGCTGGTCAGTTTCCCAGGCCTGGCATGAGAGCGCTCAAATGGAGCATGAGCACAACCTCATGGGACATGGGAAAAAAAACAACAGAAATAAGGCCCTCATCACATACTCCAAACTATGCAGACGTGTCTGTAGCTGCTGATGTCAGAGGGTCTGGAAACCTAAGGAAAGGAAGGATATGGACGTGGAACGTTTCAAAAGAAAGAAAGAAGAAAGAAAAAAGAAAGAAAAGAAAAGAAAAGAAAAGAAAAGAAAAGAAAAGAAAGAAGAGAGAGAGAAAGGAAGGAGAGAGAGAGAGGAAGGAAGGAAGGAAGGAAGGAAGGAAGGAAGGAAGGAAGGAAGGAAAGAAAGAAAGAAAGAAAGAAAGAAAGAAAGAAAGAAAGAAAGAAAGAAAAAGGAAGGAGAGAGAGAGAGGAAGGAAGGAAGGAAGGAAGGAAGGAAAGAGAAAGAAAGAAAGAAAGAAAGAAAGAAAGAAAGAAAGAAAGAAAGAAAGAAAGAAAGATAGATGACCTACTTTACTTTCTTTAATGAAAGTCACAAATTCCAGAGAGGAAATGGCTTGTGGAGATATAGTTACTAAATTGAATACTTAGGTACTATATTTAACCATATTATACAATCTTTCAAACTCGGTGATGACATTGTTAAATATATATGGAAGTATTTTATTTCAAGTGCACAAAAGAGAAACATACCTAGAAAATTCCAGGACGTTAAGGATTCCAAATGTCTGTTCCTGTCCCATCTAAAGGAAGAAAAGCAGGCTCTTACCTGAGGTGCAAAGGATTAAAATCTCAAAACAACAGTTTCCGCAGTCATAAACCTCTCTATACATACATCTCCCTGCCCCCCCCTTCCAGAACTTTCTTTCTCTGTATATGATACATGTATATAACTCTCTCCCTATCCAATATATACACATATATTCTCTCTCCAGCTCTCCCTCTCCACCTCATTCTCTCTGCATCTTCTTTCCCTCTGCAAAGGCCTTTGTAACAGGTATGGGTTTTCCCACAAGCCAGTTTGTGGGGTCATAGCTCCCCCTTCTGGTAGAAGCTTCTCATTTTTCTCCAGACCGTCACAACAGCTGGCTGACACAGTCCCTTCCAGGACAGGAAAACTCAGGACACAAGCTACAGAGGTCCACCTGAAACCTTGGGACAGGTCATGCTTCTAAATTCCAAACTTTACACATTTTATAAAAATATACGCATACATCATGTGCCATAATTATCCAGAGGGGTCTGGGGCAACATTGAGATTCCTAAGACCACAAACGGCCTCATGTCATTTACATTTTGCTGCAAAAAGCCTAATTCCCCAAATATGGGGGCGGGAAATTTTTAGAATTCAAAGCTTCTTGGATTTTGGATTTAGAAATAAAGATGATGGATCTGCATAAGATCCTAGGGCAATTAATCTAATGTTACATCAGGTTCTTCAAAGTTGGAACCTCATCATCCTCAATTTTTCCATTAGGTTCTAGACTATGTGTGTACCATTTTCAAACTCCTTGATCAAACCTGCTCTCTATTTCCCCAGTACATCACCGTGGAAAGAATATGGGCTTTGGAGTTCCATATGAGTTCGAATTCTGTATCTGCCACTAAGCATGTGCCTTCCTTATGAATGGTGGTAGCCCTGTCCCGTGGGTTTGAGAGAAGTAATGAATGAAGCAACACGCAAATTACCAAGTGCACTACTGACACCCAGCGGCACCAGGTCACCATTACTGCTCTGTCAACAACTCCCCACCCTTTCTCCTCACATCCTGAAATACACTCAGGGAACCACCTCATCCAACCTTCATAGGCTTCTGTTCCTCTCTTTCTGCAATCATCAGTTCTTTCTCCTCAGTCTGGCTCAACTTGGTCAGACGCTCATTCAGAAATGTGCCCACTGACACCCCACAAATGGGCACGAGTGCCGTGACTGCCAGGAGCCAACCCCTCTTTGCCATCCCATCAACCACCAGGCAACCACATGCAGCCCACAGACTCAGCCATTAGGATGACAAAGAGGGCCACACCGTGTAAACAGCTGGTAACCAACTCAAGAATGCATAGTTTGAGGATACTCTGGTATTAATGATTAAATAGGATTTTAAAGTTATTATTATGAACCTTAACTAGTCAGGTAGTCTTATTTACTCCCAGAAACATGGCCTTAATAAGTTAATAAAATGACAAAAAGGGATGCTAATTCGCTTTTTGTCAGCATCTACTGCCATAATGACACCAGTGGGCTCTCTCCCTAGCTCTCCATATTTGTCTGGTACTGTGAGCAAAGCAGAAACAGCCATGTTCTCCTCATCTCGGGCTCTCCTGTGGCCTGTCAGTCCACACCCACCCCCAGTCCCTATCACTGCAATGCAGAGAAAACAGTAGCATCCATACAACAGAAAATCCCAGAGCAAATGTTAATGAGTCTCCTCATACTGAAGGGGGTAAAGACTTCATTTGTGAAAAGCTTCTATGAGGGAGATTCGATACTCAGTTACTTTCTTTCACTTTAAAATCAAGTAAAAACAATTATGATTTGATTTTTGTTCTCCAGAAGAACCTGAAAGTGCCAAGAAATGGGCACACTGTATAAAGCCTGATATTTTCTAGGTTTTGCAAATAAGTACAAGAAAAATGGAGCACTGTGCCGAGTCAGAAACAGTAACAACTTTTACATAAGTTAGAAGTGAATTTCAAATGCATTACCAAGGCCTAGAGACACAAGGATGCATGAACGTAAAAACTGTTAAAATCCATGAATCCTCCCCAAATTGAGAGGTAGAGGAAGGCAGGAGTGAGGGAAGGCAGTAACAGCCTCCAAGCCCTCATCAACCCATCCTATAGCAAAATGCAGCCCCTCTAACTGGCCAGCACGAAACACGCCAGCGCCTTGCCAGTCCTAACCCAGCAATTTCCCCCACTTCCCACCTCAATGGTTCTTACTGGATGTTATTCTTGATTTACATTTTTTCCAATCACCACATTTCTCTCTCAGGCTTCCTGAGCAGGGAAACTCAAAAATCAATTATAAAATAAATAAACCCTTTGACCTTAGGGAAAAGAAAAACTCGTACAGATAACAAAGATCTTCAGTGCCACCTCACTTCTTCCCCAGCTGGGAAGACTGAAGCCAAAGCATTGAGGGCTTCACTGAGCAAGTGCTCCAGGTGCTAAGGCTGCAAAGACAGAGCTGCAGATCCTGCCCTCAAGACAAGTGGGCCATGTGGTTATTCCCATGTCCTGTTACAGAACAAAGAGCAGGCTTGCTAGGCCCTTTACTACAAGTCACACCAGCGTATGAAAGCCTCATGGAGAAGCATCTCTGAGAGAGAGAGAAAACTGCCTGCAACACAAACACAACATGAATAAGCTGATATAATCATGTGATACCTGCAGCTTTGCAATGGATCTGGTTTCCCACAGGAAAGAAAAAAACAAACACAGAAATATGGCTATCGTATTTACATCGGACACGCTATTTCAAACACAGAGTCTTCAAAAGGCAGGTGATGTACCACATCAAGAGGTGCCCAGGCTTGTCACTTACGGCTTCTATGATGACGGAGTATGGTGTTCTGGCTGTGAAGACAAAGCCCAGCTTCCTAGCTCCCTTCACCAAAGCAGCTTCATCTGTCAATAGAGTTGATGAAGCATTGACTAATCACAGGTAACAGTAGAATCCTGTTGAGCATGTATTATTATTATTTTCAAATCAACCAGATCTGCAGCAGCTGGAGTGGCCTGGCCTAAATGCACAATGGTAAGGATTCAGGATTTAGGAGGCACTCACTCACTCCCACCACGAGGGTCCTGAGGGCAGCACCTCTGTTAGGTGGGAAGACAGGACCTAAAACTAAGTCATCTGGACAAGAGTGATGGCATACCTACTATTCTCGGTTGGGGTCAAGTTCTCCCTAAGGAATATCAGTAACATTCCCATGACTTGCTGACTAAACATCTTCTCTGAGTGAACAAAGAAGCCAGTCCACCCTCCCCTGAGAGTTTTGTCTAGAACAGTGTCTTCTGCTAGGAGATGCAAGCTGGCCTGGGATCTCCTCCTGTGGTCCCAGTGTTACAGAGTCAGGAGGGCTCATCATCACCTTTCTGTGGGTTTATCATTTGGAAACTGTATGAGGCCAAAGGTAAACAGTGGGGTCTTTGTGGGGCATGCCTCCCCAGCACACCCGACAAGTAACTGCAAACATCCAAGTCTCCAGAGAAGGGGACAGCGGGGCACACGCAGCCCAGAGCCCTCACCTGGGGAGGAGGCCTGGTAGATGATGTTATCTCCATCCTTCTCAGGGACGACCGTGTGGCACACAGCCAGAAGGGTGAGGAACTCCTGTATGCATGGAGCCGTGGGCTACAGACAAAAGGGTAAGATCATCTGTTAAAACATGGCTGACATACACCAGAGTTAGATTCAGCCACCCTCTGCTTAGAACCCTGTGCTGGCTTCCCCCTCCCTTTAGAACAAAGGTCGAGATCCTAGCACGCACTCCACGTTCCCCATGATCTGGCAGCTGCTCACCACACAGTTCCAGCTCTCCTGCCTCTTCCCTCCTGCAAGCTCCACCAGCCACTCTGCTCTGTAGTTCCTCAAACAAGGCTCGACCTGTCCCACTGCTCCATCACCACCCTCCACCTGCATGCAGCCAATTCTTACTCATCCTCCAGGCTTCAATTCAACGGTTGCTTCCTCTGAGAAGTCCACTATCACCCCTATCTTGGAATACTGTTCTTGACCTGCTAACCCTGGGGTCATGTGAGAACAAGGAGGCATGTGCCCTTCCCAGGATTCCTCCAGCACTGGCCCCACTTGTTCCAACATTTCAGTCTTGCTGCTCACATGCTTCTTCCCATGTCTGTGAGTTCCAGGAGTGCCAGCAGGTCATCTGCCTTCCTCACCAGTGTAACCCCAGGCCCCACAGACAGAAGGCACCCAGATCTATGTTGGATCAATATACCGAGAATGGATTCACCAAAAGCCAGGTGAGTCTCTGGCTTTCTCTTCCATTGTCCTGGCACTTACTCTACATCATGTCTGTCCTTTAACTTGGTAATAGCTTAAAACCTATAAGGCAGTGCATCCCTCACTTACTACTTAAAAAGAATCATCCTGGATATGTATTTAATATATTTCTCCCATCTCCACACACATTCCTTGTAAGTTTTCATTGGGATCAAAATATGACATCTTAATACTGTTTCCCCATCTAAGAATACAGAATGCCTTCCTATTTATTAAAGGCTTTTAATACTTCTAAATATAGTCATGGCATATTTTCTTAATCTTTTATTAAAAAAATATTTACATGCCTACCATACGTGAGGCTTTTTATCTATCATACTAGGCTTTTTATCTATTGCTTTTCATATCATGAACAGAATCTTATTTCTATTATATTTCACAAGAGTCTATTCAGATGTAAGTAAAAATACTGAATTTTATAAATGAATTTCATATCCAATTGTAATTAACCTCTTACTGGTTCCCCAAGTTTAGCTGACTCTCTGGGGTTTTAAGGCAGCCAATTATTGTATCATCCACAGATGAGGACGTTTTTCCTTTTCTTTTCTAATATATACACTTGAGTTCTCACTTGTCCACTTGGTCTAATGTTTTCAGGATGATGTTCAAAGCCAAGGGTGACACCATGCTTCCTTGTCCTCAGGTTATCTTAACACCAAAGTCTTTAACAGTTCACTTTTCAACAGGCAACTGGCTATGCATTGGAGATCGATTTTGTATTTGCACATTCAGGAAGCAATTCTGTGTTTTCTAATTTTTGCAGAGTTTTTGTCTTTGCTTTTTAGTCACAAATGGATGGTGACTAATATTTACACATTCTAGTTTCTCCTCTGACCTATTAATGTGATTTAAGAGCAGCTGTATGGAAGCAAATACAGCTGCTCATGTGGCCACTTCTCATCAGCTTTCAGGAAAAGGAAATGCACAATTACAGTTCAGTGAAATAAGTTTATTTATAAGTTCCCCAAGGTCTACACTACAAAATGCCAAGAAATTTTATCCAAAAGCACTGTGGCACCTGGGCTTTGATTCCAGATAGCCTTCCCCACCTGCAAGCCTCTCCTCATATCTCATTGGACAAAACTGTGTAAACATCCACACCCCTGACCTAAGCACTGGTGCTGGAGTCAACTCCCCAAGTCTCTTCCAACAGGGTACTGGAGAATCAGCCACGGTGACCCTGACATTGGGTAGTAGAATCTTTTGCTAAAGTTAAAAGTGACAGTCTCCAGGAATATTAGTTATTAGTGTTTGGGGGACATATTTACAACAGAATGCTAATTTCTTGAGAAGGCAGGATAAAAAAACTTTATATGCCGTATGATTTCAATATGTGTAGTGTGTTTTTTTGTGAGTGTTCACATGTATATGGAAAGGGACAGATTGAAATGTTAACAGTACTTTGCAGCAAAGGATAAAAAGAGATTTACAGGATTAAAAAGTATATTTCTCTTCATTCTCAGAGTTTCCTTACAGTGAAACTAAATTGCTTTTTATGTAGAGGCAACCACTCCTTCCAAGTTTCTGAGAGTCATCACAGCAGCCTAGAGAACTGGCTCTACAAGAGGGGACATTCTGTTGACTGCCAACAAGAGAAGAATTCTACCTTCAACAAACTCTCCCTTGTGTAGCTATCACACCCCTTTCTCAGGCACACTCTCCCAGTCCTTGCTGGTATGAATTACCAGTACCTGCAGCTCCTTCAGTGAATAATCCCTCTTCCAAAGTGGCCATCCTCACCCCAGTCTCCATGCTGAATGTGCCTTAGGCTTGATCTAGTGGCTAAGGTGGAGACAGACCGTGAAGGAGATGAGCAGTTTCTGGCCAGACATCTGCTTTAGATGAGACCTGGTCATGGGAGCAAGGAAAGCTACCATCTTCTATGAAGGGCAGTAGACCATACCCACTGGCTCCAAAGTTCCAGAAGAAACGGGTTCTCAGGTTTTTGAGTGCATCTACCAGAAGACCCCAACCCTAGTCCCAATGTCTCCTTCCTACTAGACTTTGGTGCAGATGATTTCATGAGGCTGCCACTTCAGCCTTTTAAGAAGTTCTGCCAATTTTACAATTAGATCTTGGGCCTGGTCTTTGGTTGTATTGGCCTCAGTGGCAGGAGCTGAAGGAAATCTCTAAAGGCTGCCAAAGATGACTCTGGCTTCCATACTGTGCCTTACATAGGCAATTAATTGACCTGGGCTTATTGTTTTCTTTCTTTGACATAAATGGTAATCAGTAACAACCAGTTCCACAGACAATTCAATGAAAAAAAACACATATATAAAAATGTAGTATGTGGGGGGGGGAAATTGCTTCCTCCTGCATCTGAGAGCTATGGAGCTAGCACATCACCTCATCCCACAGTGAAACATGAAAGAGAGTCTTTGATTTCATAGCAAATAGTAAAATATTTCTGAGAGTTATAAAGAAGAGTTGCACACACTCTCAAATTAAGTTTCCACTTTGAGTAGTAGGCCAGACAACATTCTTTAAAGATTAAAAAAAGTCCCTCAGACAAAAACATTCTAACTTTGGTTCTCTAGTTAATCTGACATTCTATAATAAATTACGAAAGGAGACAAATTCCATTTGCAGCCTATGGATGTTTGTAATCTATTTTAAACAAGTGCTCCATGTTTGAAAATAAGCTTTGTTTTCTATAACTTACAAGAAAAACCTTTTATAACTTGAAAGAACGGATTGTTGGAGAATGTATATAAATTAAAGCTTTTATGTGTAGAAAAATATACATACACTCTTTTATCATTTTAACCATCTCTAAGTGCATGACTCAGGGGTATTAAAAACATTCACATTGCTTTGTACCCACCACTATATCTATACCCAAAATTTCCATCTTCCCAACAAATCTGTATCTATCAAACAGTAACTCCCTGTTCTCAGCTTCCCCTAGCCCCTAATAACTTCTATTCTGTTCTGTCTCTATGAATTTGCCTATTTTACTATTTTAGGTACCTCATAATCATAAAATATTTGTCTTCCATTTAATAGATTTTAATCTACACAAAATGCTTTATATATCTAGAAAAAAGTACTTTTTATGTGATGAATGTAAAAAAAATAGAAAACTAGGCATGTATAAAATTGGTAAACAAATTACACCTATAAAGTATTTATATATACATATACAAATAATTATTCTTGAAGACTCATCAGAAGTTCCAGACATAACGATTAAAAAAAGAAAAAGGTTGTGTGTTCTTCCTTGGTAAATCTTCGGGAACTTATCCCACAAATAGGAAGTCATGGGTTAGCAATGTAACCAAAGGACCACGTGAACTGTTCCTTGAAATTTTCCATAGGTTGATTCTTTAATAGGCAAATTCCATCTTGGCTATCGGCTCACACAAAGCTTAAAACATAGTCCTAAAGAGCCCAGAGTATCAAAAATGATGACCCATGAAAAACAAAAATTCTGTAGCAGATGGAAGTACTCCCTTGGGAGGAAAGTAAAGATTTTCTTGGTCCAAATGTTTTAATTTCAGTCAATGGTCTCAAGACAGTTTAGATAAGAATGTGGGATATCCATAGGCTAAAATCCGGAAATGCTTCTTCCCTTTCCTCAAGCATATTTTGGCAAAATAACCATGTGATCTAACAAGCTCTGTATTTAAAGTGTTTTAAAAATCTATTAGGTACACTTAATCCAATCTCACATTTTCTGAAAGAAAAATACTAGAGCCTATAGTCTTCATTATTTATAGTTGAGCTAAATGCTAAATGTCAATGGGATCATTCACATAGTAGCCAAGATGAAGACCACCTTAGAAAGCTTCAAGCATTGCTTAAAAAATGTTGAACGTAGGCAAGCAGGCTTTTACTAAAAAATTAGAAAATAAGTTCTCCAATCCATAGCCACATTATGCATTTAATCAACTGTGAGTGTCCAGATGATCAAAATACCTTTAAAGTTTCCATGTTTTCATCAATACTTATGATAACCTAAGTCAGGGCTTCCTTTTCATAATGGCTGCATCTGCCCCTACTCCTGATAGCCTTCCCACTGGAATAAAAGGAAATTTGGCTCAGCAGGGTAGGTGAAAGGAAAAGGAAGAAAGGAGCTCACTAACTTCTCTAAAGGTGAGATTCCTTCCTAAAATGCCTGCCATTGGCCATAGGCAGGAAATGCTCATTAGAAGATCCTCTCCATTCAAAGGTTAAAAGAGGACAGGCTCGAGAGGAGCATGTGAACAGTGGTTAAAAACCCAGCACACACTCATGGGTCCAGCTTTGAAGAGAACATCTGTATGTGTATATAAATTAACTGAACTCAGTATTTCAAGATTTCAAAAATGGAGATCCCAGCAGCAAATAGTGTATCTCTCAATGATCTCTACTCCAAATGAGATTTGCCCCGTCCACTGATTTTCTATACCCGAATTTTAGGTGAATGCAAATACCATTCAGTGCAGTGCCCACAATGCCCACATTTCAACAATTATGTTAGCCCTAACACCCACAAAAGAGATCAGACTCTTCTATCTACACAAAACAAAATCGCTTTCTCAGGGTGTGGTATCATACCTATCCCTATGATGCAAAGGTATACCATGGCTCCTAATGATTTTACATCTGTTTTGCAAATTAGTAGAAATCCCTTGAGTGTTTTTTATTCATCTCTTCCCCTACTTCCTAGCAAGGTGATTGATATAAACTAGGCCCTTAAACTGTTTACTAAATGAATGAGTAGATAAATGAGTCTCTTATTTAAACAAGAATCCACTTGTGTGCACTGTTCCTGAGCTTACACTGGGATTCTGAGGCTCTAGGCTGTGCACTAGGCTCACCTCACTTCCTCTGCTGCTTTCTCACCTACTGATCTGGGCCAAGAAAACAAAATTCATGAAAGGAGACTAAGAGCAGTTTCCTAAGCCTCTAGGATGCCTTTCCACCTTCTTTCCTATTCACCACCCCAACCTCAACGGACACATTTAGTCAACCTGAACACTATCTAAATACTATTTGAGAATACCTAAGTCCTCTTTTCAAAAAGCAAATTGTCACAAGGTCCAAGTGTCCTCTGACATCCTTGGTTAAAGCTACCCTCCTCCACAGAAGTTTCTTCTCAGATACCACTCTTCTGTTTGAAGAACCTCTAGCCTCATAGCTGAACCTACCTCTAACATTGAAATACGAAAAAAAAAGACCACATCGATGCCTGTGACTGCAACACAAAACAATGACTTCAGCAGCACCTACTGTGTGGTCTGGGACCACATCAGCAGCATCCCCAGGGGCTGAGACAGAATGTCCGGATCCTGGCCTGTGGATATAGGTACCTTACATGCTCACATTTGAGAACCATGGCTGGGAAGGTTCTAGCATCAACAAATGGGTAACTGCAGTAGAAAACAGGAAATCTCCTTGCTGAGAATTCAGAGAAATCCTTATATATATTTGTATCTTAATGACATTTTGGAATGATTAAGTTTTAGTTTTGCTCAAGTGTACCTAACTTTAATTTTTTTTCAGAAAAAAATATTAGATCTAATTTATACTGATTAAACTGGTTGCAAAACATTTTGATCATTAAATACTCTTCTAAGTCAATATTTTTCAAAGTACCCTTTAAAATGAATTTAGGCAATCCTACAATTAATCCTGGTTTGTTAGAATAGTTGAGATAATGTGATGTCCTAGTTAAGAATCCAACAGATGAAGGTTCTGAGTCTCATTTCTAGATTTGTCTGCTGGTAACTCTTGGCCAAGTCAGTATTTCCACGCAGCTTCCTATCACCTCTCTGGTATGACCCAAGTGCTAAAGGAAATACACATCAAATGTTTGGCACACAATAGAATGCTATAAATGCTACATGTCCTGCCATATTTTTCTTCCCTAAATTATCCTGATCCAAGCACACTGTGATTGTTTTTCAAAATGCATGACCTCTTAAATTCACAACTGTGAAGAAATAGTACTGCAGAAATCTTAAAGAGCTAAAGAATTCACAATGTTAGAGTATTCCATGGTAAGACTCATCTTAATCTTGAGGTGAGACTTTCAATCTTCACCACATATTTAAGTCAGCTTTTCATTAACTTACACTGAGCATTAACCACACAGCATTTATTTAAGATCACCTCCCTGAATATTAACACTAGAAAAGTAAAACTGCACATCTTCCCTAAGGTCCCAAATTGCAAATTTCAAGACACTGCATGTACACATAAATAAAAGTGCATCATAAGCTATGTAATGTCCTAGAAGCAAAATGATGGCCTTACGTGATGATCTTCGATGTTCTTCAAGAGCCTGGGATCATCAAAGTCACAGGAGTCACTGGGGGGAGGAGGCATCCGGCTGTGAAAAAAACAGGAAATACTAATTCAGTTCAGAAGGTCCTTTAAAATTAGCCCAAACCTTGTAAGAATCTGTCTTTAAGAAGACGTACACCTAAAAAGCCCATCAATTTATATTAAACTTTTAAAGATTTGGAATACTCTATATTCTTTCAAACCATGAGACAGAAAAATTTAGCCGTACTATAAGCAAAATATTTTATAAGTTATTATAAACAACAACATGGTTACAAGGAGAAGAAACATGCAGGAGTCAACACTTTGTCACTTTGGTTGGTCTCTGTGTAACTCCTACCAGGGAAAATTTCTGAGTTCTGCTCAAAGCAGGAAAAATAAGAGGAATGATTGCATCACATCTGTGCAATCATTTATGGTCAGAGTTCATATGTAGGAGAGAAAAGGAGGCAAATAACTGTGAAAAGGAAAGCTTGATATGATTGCTGTGAGCTAACAAACTGGAGAAAATGTGAACAGTTAAGTATATTCCTATATTTCCACTCCTTCCTAAAACTCCTACTTCAGAACAAAGACAATGGAAGAAATGACCACAGTCAAGGTGATATCAATCTGAACTCTGGATGTCAGAGTTTAGTGCAGCAGAAATCAGCAGTTTACGAGAGGAAGCACCTAGAACACAAGCTGATGTCCCCAGCAGAACTTTGAGAATGCTGAGGAAATGGCAGCCTGAGGTACCTGTCTGATAAGGGGAAAGTGGGAAGCAGGAGGGGTTCTAGATCCATCTGAGGAAGATTCAGCCCGCAGAAACCTTCCCTCATCTCTTGTAGCCAGGTAACCGAAACTTTTGCACCCAGGAAGCCATAGAAGGTTTATTGTTTAGAGAAGTTAAATTAGAGTAACCTTGGACCCAGCAACACTGGGCATACAAGTAGGTTTAGGGTAGGGAATTCTCCCAAGATAGGAGTTTTAAGTGAAATCTTTATACTCTGATAAGTATGATCACCAGCCCTCTGCCTCCATTCAGCTCCCATAACAGCTACAGCCAGATGTATAGCCTGGAGAGTTCTTCTCATGAGAAGAAGACTTATCAGTTCACAAAGAAAGACAGATGCTGACATTTAAGGATCCATTAATAAAACAGTAGGTCCTGACTGATCATCCCATAGGGAGTCCAGTCAGTCATCAATACACTGTCTTCCCTACACACACAGCCCTACCAATCAGCTTTGTTAGTATATAAATCTTAAAACATGAACACACAACATCACTAATCCCAAGAGAAATGTGAATCCAAACCACAATGAGATACCACTTCACACCCACTGGGATGGCTATTTAAAAAAAAACAACAACCCAGAAATTAACAAGTGTCATGAGGATACGGGCAAATTGTGTATTATTGACAGGGATGTAAATGGTACAGCTACTGTGAAAAACAATATGGTGGTTCCTCAAAAAGTTACACATAAAATTACCACACAACACATCAATCCCACTTCTAGGTATATACCCATAAGAACTGAAAGCAGAGACTCAGATACTTATTTTTGCAGAGACTCAGATACTTAGGTTTACAACAGCCGTATTCACACTAGAAAAAGTAAAAAAGTGCAAACGCCCATCACCAGATGAACGGATACACAAAATGTGGTATACACATAAAATGAAATATTAATCAGCCTTTAATGAGGATAAAATTTTGATATATGCTACAATACATACAATACAACTTTGAAGATATTATGCTAAGAAATGGGAAGTGAGCAGGAAGTAATAAACCAAGGACTGGCTATTTTTTTGTTAAATCCTTGTAGTTCCACTATGCTTTTAAAACCACATTCATATTAAAAATTTTAATTTGATTCTCTTTTAGAATAACAAATGAAATTTTATTTACAAAATATTCAGGTAAAAATGCCAATACAGAATCGTTCTTTTCCACTAAAACATCAAGAAGTGCTAGAATCTACTTACCAAAAATCATCTGAGGATGGTTCTCTTGTCAATTCTGGAAAATGACTGCCAGAAAGAGGGAGATAGAGTGGTCACAAAACTGTGATCAAAAGAGGCACTCATATAAAAACATTCTCCAGGATTGATCATAGGCCATGAAACAGTCTGCATAATTTTAAGAAAAGTGAAGTCCTATCAAGCGTCATTTCCAATTATAATAGTATAACTAGAAATCAACCAGAATGAAACCAAAAAGTCACAAATATGTGGGATTAAATAATATGCTACTGAACAACCAATGGGTCAAAGAAGAAATCAAAAGGAAAATCAGAAAATATGTTGAGACAAAGGAAATAGGAATATGACATAGTAAATCTTATGGGATGAGGCAAAAGCAGTTCTAAGAAGGAAATTCATAGTGACAAATGCCTACACCAAAAATCAAGAAAAATATCAACCTAATTTTACACCTAAAAAATTAGAAAAGAAGAACAAATGAAACCCAAAGTTAGTAAAAGGGGAAAAGTAGCAAATATTAGAGTAGAAATAAATGAAAAAGAGAAAAAAAACAATAGAAAAGATTAATGAAACTAAGAGCTGGTTCTTGGAAAAGATAAAATTGGTAAACCTTTAACTAGATCCACAAATAAGAAAAAAAAAGAGAACTCAAAATTAGAAATGAAAAAAGAGATATTAAAACTGATAACACAGAAATACCATGGAACATAAGGCACTACTATGAACAATTATATACCAACAAATTGGACAACCTATAAGAAATGGATAAATTCCTAGAAATATGCAACAAACACTGTATCATGATGATGAAACAGAAAATCTTAGATTGATTACTAGTAAGAAGATTAATTTAGTAATCAATAACCTCCAAACAATCAAAAGTCAGGTCCAGACAGCTTCATTTGGGTGACATTTTCCCAAACATTCAAAGAAGAATACCAATCCTTATCAAACTTTTCCCAACAATAGGAGAGAAACTTCCAAATCTGTTTTACAAGGTCAGCATTACCCTGATACCAAAATCAGACAAGGATACCACAAGAAAAGAAAATTAAAGGCCAATACCCTTGCTGAACATAGGTGCAAAAATTCTCAGCAAAGTATTAGCAAACTGAATGCAACAATACATTTAAAAAATCATACACCATGATCAACTGAAATTTATTCCAGGGATACAGGAATGGTTCAACACCTGCAGCCAATCAATGTAACATACCACATTAACAAAATAAAAGATACAAATCATATGATCACTACACTAGCTGCAGAAAAAATATTTGACAAAATTCAACATCCATTTATGATAAAAACTCTCAACAAAATGGGTACAGAGGGAACATACTTCAACATAATAAAGGCTATATACGACAAGCCCACAGTTAACATCATACTCATTAGTGAAGAGCTAAAAGCTTTTCCTCTAAGATCAGGAACAAAACAAAGATGCTCACTCTTGCCACTTTTATTCAACACAGTACTGGATGTCCTAGCCACAGCAATCAGGCAGGAAAAATAAAAGGCACCCAAACTAGTGAGAAGTAAAACTACCTCTATTTGTAGATAACATGATACTATATGTAGAAAACCTTAAAGAATCCACCAAATAACTCTTAGAATAAGTGAATTCAGTAAAGCTGCAGGATACAAACTCCATACATAAAGGTCTGTTGTATTTCTATACATTAATAATGAACTATTAGAAAAGAAATGTTTAAAATCCCAATTACAGTTGTATAAAAAAATACCTAGAATAAATTTAACCAAGAAGGTGAAAAACCTGTATACTGAAAACTGTAAGACATGAAAGAAATTGAAGATGCAAATAAATGGAAACATACTCCATGCTTTTAGACTAAAAGAATTTATATTGTTAAAATGTCCATACTACCCAAAGCAATCTACAGAGTCAATCCAATCCCTACCAAAATTCCAACAGCATTTTTCACAGAAATAGAACAAATAACTCTAATTTGTATGGAACTATGTAAGACCCAAATTGCCAAAGCAACCTTGAGAAACAAAAGCAAAGCTAGGGGCATCACATAGTCTGATTTCAGACTATTATTACAAAGCTATAGTTATCAAAACCAGACAGTATTGGCATAAAAACAGACTCACATAGATCAGCAGAACAGAAAAGACAGTCCAAAATCAAATCCATGTACTTACGGTCAAATAATTTCTGACAAAAGTCTCAAGAATATTTTAATGGGAAAATCATGAACTCTTCAATAAATGAGAAAACTGGACAGCTACATGCAAAATAACCAAACTGAACCACTATCTTTAACCATATACAAAAATTAACTCAAAATGGACTAAAGATTTGAATGTTAGACCTGAAACCTAAAACTCCTAGAAGAAAACATAGGTTGTAAACTCCCAGACACTGTAATGATTTTTTGGATCTGACACCAAAAGCAAAGGCAGAAAAAGCAAATATAAACAAGTGAGACTACATCAAATTAAAAAGCTTCTGCACAGCAAAGGAAATCATCAACAAAATGAAAAGGCAACCTACCTATAGGAGAAAACACCTGCAAATCCTATACCTGATAACATAAGGGATTAATATCCAAAATATATATATAAAAAACTCATAGTACTCAATAGCAAAAAAAAGAAAAAGAAAAGAAAAGAAAAGAAAAGAAAAAGAAAGAAAAGCCAATCTGATTAAAAATGAGTAGAAGATCTGAGTAGGCTTTTTTCCAAAGAAGACATACAGATGGCCAACAGGTACACTAAGATGTGTTCAACATCACTAATCATCAGGGAAATGAAAATCAAAAGCATAATGAGATATCAACTCCTACCTGTTAAAATGTTAGAAGAATTAACAAGTGTTGGCAAAGATGTGGAGAAAAGGAAACTTTTGTGTGCTGTTGATGGGAATGTAAACTGGTGCAGCTGGTATGGAAAACCATATGGAGTTTTTTTTCTTTTTTTTCTCAAAAAATTGCAAATAGAACTACCATATGACCCAGCAATTCTAATTCTGGGTATTTATCCAAAGAAAATGAAAACACTAACTCAATGTGATATACTCACCTCATGTTCACTGCGGCATTATTTACAATAGTCAAGATATAGAAACAACCTCAATCTCTAATCAATGGATGAATGGATAAAGAAAACATGGTACATGCACACAATGGAATATTATTATTCAGCCATAAAAAAGGAAACCTTGCCATTTGTGACAATATCCATAATAGGATATTATGCTAAGTGAAATAAGTCAGACAGAGAAAGACAAATACCATACAATCTTACTTAATACATGACTCAAAAAAGAAAAAAAAGGCGGCGGCAGCTCATAGCCACAGAGCATAGGTTAGTGGTTGCCAAAAGCAGAGGGTAGGAAGTGGTCAAATAGGGAGAAAGGGGCAAAAGGTACAAACTTTCACTTATAAAATAAGTAACTTTCAAGGATTTAACAAACAACATTGAGACTGTAGTTAATAATAAATACTATATTGCATATTTGAAAGTTGCTAAAAGAACAGACCTTAAAAGCTGCACTGCAAGAAAAAATAAATTTTGTAACTGTATGCGGTGACAGATACTAACTAGACTTATTGTAGTGACCATTTTACAGTATATACCAACACTGAATCATTATGTTGTACATCTGAAACTAATAATGTTACGTATCAATTAAACATCAATAAAAAAGACAGGCATTCAGATCAAAATATGAGTAAGGCATTTATAATTATTAGATTATAAATATAAATATATAGAAGCTAAATTAATAGAATTAAGGTTTTAAAATTAAATTTATAGCATTAAATCCAAGGATTTCTCACTAGGCAAATATTTGCAGAATAAACTGGCTAACTGTTCAAAGTTGGGGCCAATTAAATTTTATTTTATCTTTTAAATTTTTAAAAAATATTTTATTTATTCATTCATGAGGGATACAGGAAGAGAGTCAGAGACACAGGCAGAGGGAGAAGCAGGCTCCATGCAGAGAGCCCAATGTGGGACTCGATTCCAGAACTCCAGGACCATGCCCTGGGCCAAAGGCAGACGCCCAACTGCTGAGCCACCCAGGCATCCCCAGGATCCATTAAATTTTAAATACATTCAGTAGTAATTACATATCTAAACCTCTTATAAATATCCTTCAAAAATATCAAAAAGGCATTTGGCTAGCAGCTAAAAATAAACTCATTTTATTAGAAGAATACAAATCAAATTTTTAGTAAGTGATAAATATACTTACCCATAGGTTACCCCAGCAATGCTACACTTCTTGAAGTTCATGATATTGCATGTAAGCGTTCCAGTTTTATCAGAAAATAGGTATTTTACCTACATCAAAGAATGGAAGAAACATGCATCAAAAATGTAGTTAAGTTAAAAAGAAAAAAAATGTAGTTAAGATGCAGAGACCAATAGACAGTCTTTCCTTCTATATTTTTCAAAAATTCTATTAATTTTAAAAGGCAAATTTCTTTAAAGTAAAATAAATTTTATAATTATATATGTTACAATTTTATGTTATTATAAAATTAATATATTTTAATGCTTAGACCACTTAAAAATCTTTTCCACTAACCAAGCCTAGAATCGAATTGTGTGGAAATGTGCAAAGGAGGCTCCAGAAACAGCCCTGGAGTCATGTCGACCTGTAAGCATAAGCACTAAGTTCTGCCACAAGGTAGCTCAAAGACACAGATCAGTCTCCAAGCTATTCCCACCATCTCATACCTCACTCTTAGTGTTCAATATATCAAGACAACAAGCTCAGGCTTTGGCAACTCTTAAAATATTTTTTATCACTCCACTCCTAGTTGGATTAAGAAAGCATATCCTAAAACAACACAGAGCAAACAAAGCTCCCCCGTCACAATAACAATTAAGATGACATGAAGATAACATAGGACTGCTATAGATTATATATAACTTTCTGAAACTCAAAGGTTTACAAATTTAATACACAAAGCTCTCAATATACAAAGATGAAAAGACAAAATTTCTAGAGGTCAACAATCTAAGCATTTTGACATAATTAACTGAATGCAAAAGAAATGAAATCTAAATGCTTATGTGCTGTGTGAATTAAGTTCTCTCCAGTGGATCATGTGATGGGGAAGAAGGAGAAGAGTTCAAGATCACAAGAGGGTAGGTTCCGAATACTAAGGCATCATACGGACTCTAGAAAAGTCACCTCATCCTTCTTGGCTCCAATTTCCTCATCTAGGAAATAAAGAGTTTTGCCAGAAGATACAGAACATCATTTTATGTGTAACATCCTGGAAAAATATGTCCAGTTTCTTCACAGTTTTCTAAAGAGAGGCCATGATTGCTGCTGGATGTACTCCACAAATCACAAATGGAAGCTATGCTTTACTGATTTATGGAAGAGCGATTAATACTGTGAATTATTTATTCTGTACTTTTTTTAATGAGACAATATAGGCAAATATGCTATTAAGTATTTTAAAGCAATCAAAGGGCTGTCAGGTAAAGGAAAATTATTAATGTTCCTAAAGAAGTCAAATAATACATAGAAATAAAAAGTATGGGTCATTAACGCTCCAACTATAAATAAGTTTTTATATGAATTTTACATGAAGTCTAGGGCTACAAAAAAATTCAATAGATTCAGCTTTCCAATAAACAATGTCTTTCTGCCCCTTTTTAGAAAAAATTATAAGATTGTATCAAATGTTTAAAAATGCAAAATTTCCAATACAGAATTATCCAGATTTGCTCTCATTCTCCTATTGAATTTTAACTTATCCTTAAGTTCCAATTCAAAACTTTTGGAGCAAGCAAAGTTTTCCCATATTCCCAATTAGGATGAATTATTATCCTGGGTAGAACTGGAGCACTTTTTGTTTTGTTTTGTTTTGTTTTTTGAGCTGGAGCACTTTTAATCCTTCATTACTGGAATCTAGTTGAATGGGTCCTGAGAACAATAGTATACTGAGCACTATGCTAGACAGACCAAGGCAGCCAAAGACCTTATCCCAGGCACAACCACACCCTCAAAATGGGCTCAAAAGGCTCCAGGAGAAAACAGACACCACATCACTATCATGTCTCTCATTTTACAGTATTCATATTTTGGGAGACTGGTACGGGGACCTAGAAGAAAGATAAATTTACTCTACCCGAAAAACTGAAAAAGGGTTCAAAGAGGAGACAAATTTAGCCTGACATATATAGCACCCACCCCTGTAGGGCTGTTGGGAGGTTTAAATAAGATGTATAAAATGAAATTATCATCTCTAATTGAGTGCATTCAAAAGGATAGTCCTTACAGTAATTTCAACAGAAGATGAAGATATAATGCAAAACAACTCATTAAAGGACACATGGGTTTCAAGGGTGATGACAAAAAAGAAACTTGTTCCCTGGGATTTTCCAGAAACAAAATCTAAAGCATGTGAGAAATTTAGTAGATTTATGTCCTTCAAATTAGCTCCTCCATGTTTTGTAAGATTACCTAATACCTACAGATCTGAACCACTGTTTTCCCTATCATTTACTCCTGATAAACAATTTTAATGTCTAAAATAATATTGTACTTTATTTTTCGTATTTTTTTGCAGGCACCTTCTAGATAATAAAACACATCAATGCCTCAAAAACCAGGTCAAAGCCAACTAACATTTCTATTTCACAAAACTTTCAAATGCTATATATATAGCTCTTTAGACATCAAAACTACATAGAGAACTATTTTTCCAAAATGTTTCGTGGTTCTAGCAGTGGGCTCCCCTGATGCTAGAGTCACCCACCACTGCCACAGGTCCCAAAGAGGCTCTCACCTGCCCAAGCTCTTCATTAAGGTTTGAGGTCCTGGCCATTGCGGGAGTGTCATTTCCTAGATAATACATGTCTGTGTCCTGAGAGAGAGAAGGGGTGAGGGAGCTTCAGAAAATATATACAATTAATCCTTCATTTAGACTAACACAGAAAAGAAGCTACAACAGATAACTTAATATTAATGCTCATTTTTAATTTGGGGGTGATAGTACAGTGGCTATTAGTATAGAGAAATGCCGTAATAGAAGAAAACATGTAATTTACATACAGAAGATTTGGTTTCTAGATGATTATTGCATGACCTACACTAACCCATACTTCTGAGCTCAATATCTCCCTCATGGGATTGTTGTGAGGATCAAATAAAAATGCACATGGAAGTGCCCAGTCTACCAATATTGGCTGCTGAGGTCCAGTGCTTAATGGCCAGGGCAGTTCCCTTAAAATTCCACCTCCACTCTTGCATCCAAATCCAAGTCTATGGTCCTCATAACCTTTGATATATAATGCACACTGAAACAGACAACACCTATGAGACCTCTTGTGCAGCACTAATCAGACTGTAAAAGCAGGAGAAGCATTTGCAGCCATTTTATCCCCACTCACCAGAAGGCATGCATCTGCTAAGCACTCTGCCTCCATCATCTCATTTAATCCTCATAAGAACCCCATGAATAAACAGGCACCAATATCCTCTTGTCTCACTGACCAGGAAGCTGAGGTGACAGGTAACTAGTCATTGCCATCACCAGCTCAATGATAGCTTTGCCAGAGATCCCTTGCCAGTTCTCTGGCTAGTTCAAGTCCTAGACCCAATCATAAATTATCTATATTCCTCCTTTTCTGGGGGCTCAGCTGTAGGACTGATGCTCTGAGAGAATATGAGAAAACGTGGTTGGCATTGTTCCGGCAGCTCAGCTTTGAAGCTCTGCTGAGATACTCACCCAGTTTATAAAAAGAGCTTGAGTGTATTTCACAACCTCAAGAGTCACCAACAGACTAATGGGAATAAGATTGTTGTATAGGATGATGAATGTCAACAAGTTATATCCGAAATTATCCGAGGTTGTGTCTGTGGACAAAAACCAGAGTAACTGTATAGCTTCAGTTTGTCTCATTTGGTTTCCTTTTACTTTATTATTGGGAACTTTTTCTAAAAGATGTTCACAAAAAAAAGTCTACTGGCTTACATAGAAATTTTAGAGATCTGAGTTGCTTATGTAGAAATTTAGAGATTTGAATTAAACCAGTTATTGACTATTTACTATGTGGAATGACCTGTGAATACAATGACTATTAATACAATCTCTCCTAATAAAGAGTTGGCTTCAAACAGGAGGTTGTAGGGGAGGGGAGTAAGCAGGAGCAAGCCTGCCCCTCACTGACCATGCAGCAGCATACATCTACTGAGGAGAAGTTCGTTGGGCATTGCTGAAACCAGGACAGGAGGGTTTTTTTAACGGGAAAGCATGGTCACCAAAGGCCAGCCAGAAGAACAGAGGCTTTACTCTAGTTTTGGCAGAAGAAGACAGCTAACTAAAAAAAAAAAAAAAAAAAAAATGCCTAAAAAGAATACAGGCATTTCAAATGACTGTGAGGAATATCTACAACCTCACTAAGGTCAGAGTCTATCTGGGATACTCCCAAAAGTCTCAATGGTAGCAGGAGAGGGAGGCAGGAAGACTGAAGCCTATTTATTGAAGATAACAGAAGAAAATTTTAATATAAGAGGATCCCTAAGGATTGATCAAGACCCCTAGGGGGCAGAATCCAAAACAGAAGTGGGTCAGCTTAGACAGGAACAGGAACCAGGAGAGGGAAAAGAGGTACAAGGTCTATATCAAAAGAGAAAAGTTATTTTCCTGATGATCATGACACACTAGTTGAAGGAAAAAGTAGTAGGATCTTGGCAGGAGGAGGGGGGACTGCTGAAGACTAAAGGTTTGACTAAAGGTTTGAGTATTAACAATGCCTCTTCAGGGAAACTGGTATTTCAAGATAGTAAAAGGCAAGGATTGGAAATTAGTAATTTCAAACCACAGTTGAGTTTTTCAAACCACAGTTGAGTTTCTCCCCCAGGAAATTAGTCAAATGGTGGTTGTTTGACAGCCTGAGAGTTCTGGAGGGTAGTTGTGATGGCAAGATAAGAGGCTGGGAAAGTAAAATAGGCAAAAACTAGTCAGTAGTTTTATTTTCCTACCATCCTTTCATTTACTTTTCATCTACTAAGGCTTCCTGCTGATTGCTTCTTTTCTTTCTGACATGCTACTTTGCTATCTTGTTTTTTTGAATTAAGTGGTTGCTAAATAGGATCTCTAAGTACCACAGTTAACAAATGTCCCTGAGGGATAATCTGCTTAGGAACAAGTATCTGCCAATTAGAATTATGTATTAAGAAATTTAAAATTTCAGGTTTGAATACAGGCCCAAAATAGCTTTGTGCCATCATACAGGTGATCAATAAGCAAAGTATATTCAGGAAAGACCCTATGTATAAAAGTTCATTCAGCTAAACAAGAACAATCAAGTAGAGATGAGTGAGGACAGAATATGATAGAAATTGAAGTCAAAGCTCCAACAGTGACAATGAGAACGTGAAGTCTGATGGCTTTATAACAGAGCGACTCCAACTTTTCCATGAGAAAACAAAGCAGACAGCATGATGGGTGGGACAAAAAGACCATTCTTTCATCACGAATCATGCAGTTCATACTGGAATTTGAAATTGCCTAATGTCAAAACTATGAAACTATATATGTACACAAAGTATTAGTCTGCATATCTGAAGCTAGACATATAACATGGTCCAAATCCAAATTTTAAGGACCAAAACCAAAGGTTTTGATCCAACCTATGAGTCCCAGACATATTTGTAAAGTGGCAACAATAGTTCTCCCAGGCAATTAAAAGTGTTTGATTTTTCTGCATGAAATAAATAGAAAAGGGAAAAACTGTTTTGATCGGTTTAACCAAAATATACTTAAAGAGTAACAAAAACCTCAAAGATTCCAAAGTTTTAAAATTCAAATTTATTTCTCAAAATATTTTGTCATTAAATAGTATTTATTTTCTGGAATTGCTGTGTAAGGAGATTGGCAAATCTCTCCAAAAAGGAAGAAATAAAGTTGAACAAAATTATCAAAAACTAGCAGTTAAGGTGCTTGAGAATTGATCACAGTGCGTACAAAAAAATTCAAAAGCATGTATTCAAAAAAAAACTACTTAATGTAAGTGGAAACCTTTGGCATTTATGTCAGAAGCTATTTTTCTCTCCTTTCCCCTTGAGCCATGATGCTTAAGTTCTGTTCTGGATGGGTGGTTGTGACTGGCAGCTTGCATCCCCCACCCCATCAACCCCTGCTCCATATTGCAGAAATTCTATCCCAAGGTGAGGCAGGCTGCTGCTCCAGAGTAAGGCAGGTTGTTAGGACAGGAACAGCCTGAGGAAGATGACATTATTTGGAACATAGCATGAAAAAAAGACATGCCGGGGGCACTGTCAAAAATAATAGAGATCTCAGTGGCTAATAATCAGAGAAGACAAATATCTTACAAAATCAGTAGGAGCAAACAAGAGGAGACTAGCCAGAAATTAAACAGGGATATCCATGGAAAGAAATGGCCAAAGAAACCTTGGTAAGATCACACCAAATCCTGGTAGTCCCAAAGGTCATGTCCATGCACAAGGCTGTAGCTGCTTAGGAGAGACCAGACAGGGTACTTATGAACTACTACTCCCTGACTGAATGTGAGCAGACTTTAAATTCCCCAAAAGCTGAAGGCACTACACAAGCCATGCATAGATCAAACAACCTCTGACCAATCACTGGCTAACCTCTAAGCTATGCCTACCCCTAGGAATCCAGACTTAAAAAATAAAATCAAGAAGAATGCTAATGAGGACAGGGTTTCTTTCTACAGCACTGAAAATGTTCTAAAGTATGTAAGGGGTAAAGGTTGCACAAATCTGTGAAAACACTAAAACCCACTCTATACTTTAAACTATACATTTTAAAGGCATTAAAAAGTCAAAATGGAAATAAAACTGAGCAGTAACAGCAGAGGCTATACACTGCAGGAGAAAACAGACTTCATAGAATTTTTCCAGGCAAGTCACTAAACAGATAAACAAAAACAGCAACAAGCCCGAGGAAGAGGAACAGAATCCAGAATTGCCAGAACATATTATCCAAAGCGCCCAGTTTTCAAGAACAAAAAAAAAAAAAAAAAAAGGAAAAAATATGAAACATACAAAGAACCAGGAAAAAACAAGCAATAGAAACTGCCCTTGAGGGGGACCCAAATGATGGACCAGAGACTTCAAAGAAGCTATTATAAATACATTTAAACAACTAAAAGAGGGGATCCCTGGGTGGCTTAGGGGTTTAGCGCCTGCCTTTGGCCCAGGGCACGATCCTGGAGTCCCAGGATCGAGTCCCGCATTGGGCTCCCAGCATGGAGCCTGCTTCTCCCTCCTCCTGTGTCTTTGCCTCTCTCTCTCTCTCTCTCTCTCTCTCATAAATAAATAAATAAATAAATAAATAAATAAATAAATAAATAAATAAATAAATAAATCCTAAAAAAAAAACTAAAAGGAACTCTTTATGGAATTAAAAGAAATTATGATGACAATGACTGATCAGATAACACTGATAAAGAGATGAAAGAAAGAGCCTAGCAGAAATTCTGAAATTGAAAAGAAAAAAAAATCACTAGTGGAACTGAAGAGTAGATGTGAGCTAGCAGGAGAGAGAAACAGACAAACTTCCATATAGATCAAAAGAGATTACTCAATCTCAAGAACAGAAAAAAAAAAACAGAATAAGGAAAAATTAACACAAACTAAGGTCACATCACGTGGACCAAAGTGTACATAATGGAATTACCAGAAAGAGAAAGGAGTTTGAAAATGTGGCAGGAACAATATTTGAATAAATAATTGCTGAAAACTTCCCAAATTTGGTGAAAAATACTAATGTACATATCCAAAAAGCTCAACTAAACTCTAAACAAACTCAAAATTACTGAAAACTGAGGACAAGTTTGAAAGCAGCAATAGAAAAATGACTTACATATAAGGGTAAAAACTTAGTAAGATTAACAGCTGACTTCTCATCAGTAAAATGGAGGCCAGAAGGCAGTAGGATGGCATATGCAAAGTACCAAAAGGAAAAGAACATCAACCAAGAATTCTAAAATTCTTGAGAACACTGTCTTAGCAAAACTGTGCTTCAAAAAAAAAGGAGAAACTAATACATCCCAAAATAAAAATAGAGGATTTGTTGCTATCTGATCTGCCTTACAAGAAATACTAATGGAAATTTTGCAGGATGAAAGGAAATGACACTAGATGGGAATTAAATCCACTTAAACAAAGGATATCAGTAAAGGTAATAACACAATCACTTATAAAAGACAATTACATATTTTTATCCTTTCCTTTGACTTTAAAAAATATGGCAAAAATGAATATAAAAGTACATCATTGGACTTTATACAGATGTAATATATATGACAGCAATGACAGCACAAACGAATGAGAAGACAAAGCTACATGAAGCAAAGAAATGACACAAGCTGGTATCTTAAATTTACAGAAAGAAATGAAAAATACTAGAAATGATAAGTATGTTCATATAAAATAACTCTGTAAGGATATTTTTTCTTTTTGCTTAAATAGACATTATAAAATATAAGGCAATAATTATAACACTTATACTGGGGTGGTAACATATATGTAATAGATATGACAATAACATAAAGCAAGGGAAGAAATGAATCTATACTGGAGTAAATTTTCTGTATTTTACTGTAATTAAGTTAGTATTCATCTGAAGCAAATGCCGATAAATTAAGACATTTATTGCAACCCCAAGAGCAACTACGAAGAAAATAATTTTTAAAATTGTTAAAAATACAATCATCTGAATATAAAACAACTCCATATGTCCATCTTCATTTCATCCCACAACTCCTAATCTTTCAAGAGGCTGGCCTTTTATACAGTAGCCAAAAGAATGAAGGATGGCATGGCCACCACACATAAACCATACTTTTCCAAAAGTGGTCCTACTTTTATCCTACTTCAACAGTCACTCCATCCTCACACTTACCCATCTTCTTGATGTACCAGTTCTTTCCACCTTGAGATCCATTCCAGTACAGGGCCCCCACTGAGCTCACCAAGGCCATGACCAAGAGGATGCCAAACAACACCAGGATCTGCACATTAGTCACTTTCTCAACATTCGATCTTTTGAGAGGTGCCTTTGTGGAATTCTGTACAATAGCATTGAAAGTGAATAAGAGTCATAGAACAGGCTTGAGTTAAAGAGTTGAGAGAAAAGGAGGTAAGTTAACCAAATTCAACAAATAAAAAATGAAAGAATGTACTTTTACCAAATAACCAGTGAAATTAAAACATGCACCATACTCCTGAATGAACAGTTAGTTTTGAATAAAGAACACATTTTGACTCCTCATGATTCAATCTGTACTTATTTACATTTTAGTATAAAATTAGCTACTTTTGCAATCACAGAAAACAAGTTCTAAATTACTTAAAATCAGTTTAAAAGAAATCAGAATGTTATTAATTCAAGAGACATTAGAAACTTAAAGATTCTGTACCATAAAAATCTAGACTGAATCTTCAAAGTAATATAATTCTATAATTAATATAGAAAGAACTATTTTTGCAGTATAGTTTCCTCTTAAAATTGAGAAAAAAAGACATACACAAACACATACACATAAAAAATGCAAAATAGGTGTTGACATCAATAGGTATCAAAATAAATGAATGGACAAAGTTCATTTGGAAAAATGTGTGTGAACAGGAAACAAGCAGGAAAGCTCTAGTGGTTGTGAGAAATATGAGTGCATTCTTGAATTATAAACAGAATGTTGACAGGAAAGTAAAACAAAAATGGAAGACAGCCTAACCATCTATAAAAATACATGCTGATTTCTCACGGCAGATGGGGAGACAATCCCAGCTGAAAGAGAATCCAGTATTGGCAAGTGAAATCAGAAAGATTCATTAAAGCCAGATTCAAGGACCTCTGCACATAGGTGGAAAATCTGAAACTATATCCTCTCAGTGTTGGAAAAGTCAATGGAATTAGTTTCACTAAATAGTTATGCACCTGAAGTCACTTTACTAAAAATTTTCTGATTGCCGTGGTGGGAAAAATGATGGTTCCCCAAATGATGGCCATGCCCTAATACCTGGATCCTGTAAATACATTATTTTACGTGATAAAAGGGGTTTTGCATATGTGATTAAATTAAGGGTACGACTGGGGCACCTGGGTGGCTCAGGTTGAGCATCTGACTCTTGGTTTTGGCTCAGGTCATGATCTCAGGGTCCTGGGATCAAGCCATGTGTCAGGCTCCACACTCAGCATGGAGTTTGCTTGTTCCTCTCCCTCTGTTCCTCCCTCCCTGTCACTTTTTCTCTCATTAAAAAAAAAAAAAGAAAAAGAAAGTTTAAATTAACAAAACTAAGGATATGACTTAGGGAAATTATCTTGGATTATGCAAGTGGGTCCAATTTAACCCACATAGACCTTTAAAAACAGAAAATGAAGAGATTCTTTCCTGGCTACAGTCAGAGGGAAATGTGGTTACACAAGAATAGCCCAAGAAATGCAATATGCCAGCTTTGGCAATGGAAAAAGACGGTCATGTGCCAAAAAATTCGGGCAGGGTTCAAGAAGACTGGAAGAGGCAGGAAAACAGATTCTCCTCTAGAACCTCCTAGAGTATCCTAGAAAGGAATGCTGCCCTATGGGCATCGTGATATGGATGAGACCCCTATCAGACTTCTGACCTACAGAACCGTAGCATGACAACTTCGTGCTATTTTAAGCTATCAATTTGTATAATTTGTTATGGCAGCAATAGGAAACTAACACAGTAACCCAGATGGTAATAATCCACTCCTGGAGGTGAACAGAGCCTGGATTAGATCAGAAGCCAAGAACTGGATAGGGGAAGATGGACACAGGAGCTTCAGTCTACAGGAGTCACAAACTGGTCTCTCTACTACTAACACCGATTTGCAAAAATCAGGTGATTTGAAAGCTTGAAAGGCACTAACCAGTCATACAAATGGTGCCTTGGGCAAAATTTAAGTCAGCACACTTCACTGTTCTCAACTTGTCTGATCGTTAAAAGAGCTAGGATGAAAATGTCTCCAAAAATTAAGAATATGAATAAAGTCACAACATGAAAATAAAATCAAATAAAAAGAGAGTGGAGATCCCTGGGTGGCTCAGCGGTTTAGTGCCTGCCTTCTGCCGTGATCCTGGAGTGATCCTGGAGTCCTGGGATCGAGTCCCACGTTGGGCTCCTTGCCTGGAGCCTGCTTCTCCCTCTGCCTGTGTCTCTGCCTCTCTCCCTCCCTCTCTCCCTCTCTCTCTCTCTCTCTCTCTCTCTCTCTGTGTGTGTGTGTGTGTGTGTGTGTCTCATGAGTGAATAAATAAAATCTTTAAATAAATAAAATAAAATAAAAAAAGAGAAGAATTCATCCCTAAGTTCCTTCGAGAAGCTCATACCACATCACTGAAACAGTTACCTGAATTCTATCCCCAAACCCACAAATACTACAATCGTGGCCTAGTTTTCTGCAGGGGCAGAGACATGTAAGAACCAGTTTAATGGCAGTTTTGAAATGTTTCAACATTTAAACAGAACAACAGCATCTTTCTTTATATTCACTTTTCTCCCTTTCACTTCAGTTCTTTGAATTATTTGTCCTTTACAGACTTTTTTAAAAAGTCCTTTAAACTTCTAAATGGAAATCTACTAGTGAAGGCTGATCCCTCAATCAAATCCCATCTACAGGCTGATGGGGACAACATACTACCTCTGCTCTCACGGAAGAAGCCAACATACCAGTTCCAAGAGTGCCTATCCCAAGCTTTTAAAACACATGATCTTATCATTTTTAACACACATTCACTGTAGGCACAGGTAGAAAAAAAATTATAATAAGCATCATTTCTATGACTCCATTAGTTCACCAGCTTCTGATCTTTTCCAGTGGTTGAGTCCTGGCCAGTTAACAAGGTTAGGACTCCTCCAATGTAAGAGCCCAAAACTTTATCACATGCACTTTGTAGAAAATCAACCTCTGCCTACTTACTCCCATTCCCTGAACATTTCAACTTGCAATGATGAGCAGGTAATGTTAAATTCAGACTAGCATTTTAAATTCTTCTATACAATTCTTAGAAAATATTGCTGCTTTTGAGTAATGGAGTTCTTAATAGAAATAAGCATCTTTCGAATAACATCTTTCATGAATATGTTAGTAATTATGTGAATCTATACACATGTTAAAACACATACAGTTATAATTATTTTTTTCTTTATTTATTTATGATAGTCACAGAGAGAGAGAGAGAGAGAGAGAGAGAGAGAGAGGCAGAGATACAAGCAGGCCCCATGCACCGGGAGCCCGACGTGGGACTCGATCCCGGGTCTCCAGGATCGCGCCCTGGGCCAAAGGCAGGCGCCAAACCACTGCGCCACCCAGGGATCCCCCCACATACAGTTATATAGCCAAAAAAAAGTTTTGATTATTTTTATCACTATTAAAATTCATGGTTTGTTAATTTAACAAAATTTTAATCGTGATAAAAGTAATCAAAACTTGAATTAATTGGCTATATATAATTCCAGAATCATCCCTATTGTCATTTAGGTTTCTTAGAATGTTTTGCTATTACAAACAGCCATTAAACTAGTGCTTATAAGCGTATTTAATTAAAACTTTACTCATAGTTACAAAAAAAAAAAGAAAAGCCAAAAATGTTAGAGGCTGAAAAGTTTATAACAGATCTGAATTCTATACACTTTTGCCCTCCTAAGAAAGTAGTCAGTAGAGTAGTGAGAACGTGTACTCAAGAGTCAGACTGGAGGGAGGGGCAAGATGGCGGAAGAGCAGGGTCCCCAAATCGCCTGTCCCCACCAAATTACCTAGATAACCTTCAAACCATCCTGAAAATCTACGAATTCGGCCTGAGATGTAAAGAGAGACCAGCTGGAATGCTACAGTGAGAGGAGTTCGCGCTTCTATCAAGGTAGGAAGACGGGGAAAAAGAAATAAAGGAACAAAAGGCCTCCGAGGGGGAGGGGCCCGCGAGGAGCCGGGCTGAGGCCGGGGCGAGTGTCCCCAGGACAGGAGAGCCCCGTCCCGGAGGAGCAGGAGCTGCACCAACCTTCCCGGGCGGGCGGAAAGGGGCTCGCTGGGAGTTAGAGCAGGACCCAGGAGGGCGGGGATGCCCTCGGGCTCCCGGGGACACTGACAGACACCTGCGAGCGCAGGGGAGTGCTCCGAGCTCCCTAAGGGCTGCAGCGCGCACGGAGGGACCGACCGGAGCAGCTCGGAGGGGCTCGGGAGCGGCTCCAGGGAGGGAGCTGCAGGGCGGGAGCGCGAATCCACCAGCGCAGGCCCCGGAGCACAGGGCGCCGGGACACAGCCCAGGATCCGGCCTCCCCCGGGACAGGCAGAGGCCGGGAGGGCCCAGGACAGCGAGGACGCTCCTGCCCCGAGCTGAGCAGATCAGCGGCCCCGCCCCGGAGCCTCCAGGCCCTGCGGACGGAGAGCCGAGAGCCCCGAGCCCCATAGTTCCTGCGGAGGCTGAATCCAGGCTTCCAGAGCTGCCATAGCCACTGGGGCTGTTCCTCCTGGGGCCCGACGGGGTAAACAACCCCCGCTGAGCCCTGCAGCAGGCAGGGGCAGAGGAGCTCCCCCAAGTGCTAACACCTGAAAATCAGCGCAGCAGGCCCCTCCCCCAGAAGACCAGCTAGAGGGACCAGTGATACTCCCCCGTGTTCCAATACAGCTTGTTTTTGGCCACTCTGCACTGAGCAAAATGACTAGAAGGAAAACCTCACTTCAAAAGAAAGAATCAGAAACAGCCCTCTTTCCCACAGAGTTACAAAATCTGGATTACACTTCAATGTCAGAAAGCCAATTCAGAAGCACCATTATACAGCTACTGGTGGCTCTAGAAAAAAGCATTAAGGACTCACGAGACTTCATGACTGCAGAATTTAGATCCAATCAGGCAGAAATTAAAAATCAATTGAATGAGATGCAATCCAAACTAGAAGTCCTAACGACGAGGGTTAACGAGGTGGAAGAACGAGTGAGTGACATAGAAGACAAGTTAATGGCAAAGAGGGAAACTGAGGAAAAAAGAGACAATCAATTAAGGGACCATGAAGACAGATTAAGGCAAATAAATGACACTCTAAGGAAGAAAAACCTACGTTTAATTGGGGTTCCCGAGGGCGCCGAAAGGGACAGAGGGCCAGAATATGTATTTGAACAAATCCTAGCTGAAAACTTTCCCAATCTGGGAAGGGAAACAGGCATTCAGATCCAGGAAATAGAGAGATCCCCCCCTAAAATCAATAAAAACCGTTCAACACCTCGACATCTAATAGTGAAGCTTGCAAATTCCAAAGATAAAGAGAAGATCCTTAAAGCAGCAAGAGACAAGAAGTCCCTGACTTTCATGGGGAGGAATATTAGGGTAACAGCAGACCTCTCCACAGAGACCTGGCAGGCCAGAAAGGGCTGGCAGGATATATTCAGGGTCCTAAATGAGAAGAACATGCAACCAAGAATACTTTATCCAGCAAGGCTCTCATTCAAAATGGAAGGAGAGATAAAGAGCTTCCAAGACAGGCAGGAACTGAAAGAATATGTGACCTCCAAACCAGCTCTGCAAGAAATTTTAAGGGGGACTCTTAAAACTCCCCTTTAAGAAGAAGTTCAAGTAACTCTGAACGTGAATGGGCTTAATGACCCCATCAAAAGGCGCAGAGTTTCAGACTGGATAAAAAAACAGGACCCATCTATTTGCTGTCTACAAGAGACTCATTTTAGACAGAAGGACACCTACAACCTGAAAATAAAAGGTTGGAGAACCATTTACCATTCAAATGGTTCTCAAAATATACCCTAAAAACTACAGAACACTTCTGAAAGAAATTGAGGAAGACACAAAGAGATGGAAAAATATTCCATGCTCATGGATTGACAGAATTAATATTGTGAAAATGTCAATGTTACCCAGGGCAATTTACACGTATAATGCAATCCCTATCAAAATACCATGGACTTTCTTCAGAGACTTAGAACAAATTATTTTAAGATTTGTGTGGAATCAGAAAAGACCCCAAACAGCCAGGGGAATTTTAAAAAAAGAAAACCATATCTGGGGGCATCACAATGCCAGATTTCAGGTTGTACTACAAAGCTGTGTTCATCAAGACAGTGTGGTACTGGCACAAAAACAAACATATAGATCAATGGAACAGAACAGAGAACCCAGAAGTGGACCCTGAACTTTATGCTCAACTAATATACGATAAAGGAGGAAAGACGATCCACTAGAAGAAAGACAGTCTCTTCAATAAATGGTGCTGGGAAAATTGGACATCCACATGCAGAAGAATGAAACTGGACCACTCTCTTGCACCATACACAAAGATAAACTCAAAATGGATGAAAGATCTAAATGTGAGACAAGATTCCATCAAAATCCCAGAGAAGAACTCAGGCAACACCCTTTTTGAACTTGGCCACAGTAACCGGAGAAGGACAAACAGTGTATGTTCTCATTCATTTGGGGAATATGAATAATAGCGAAAGGGAATATATGGGAAGGGAGAAGAAATGTGTGAGAAATATCAGAAAGGGAGACAGAACATAAAGACTTCTAACTCTGGGAAATGAACTAGGGGTGGTGGAGGGGGAGGAGGGTGGGGGGTGGGGGGTGGGGGTGAATGGGTGACGGGCACTGAGGGGTACACTTGACGGGATGAGCACTGGGTGTTATTCTGTATGTTGGTAAATTGAACACCAATAAAAATTAATAATAATAAAAAAAAGAGTCAGACTGCCTAGGTTTGAATCCCAAATCACTCTTACTGGGTGGGTGTATAACTTCATTAACTTACTTAGACACCTGGTCTCATTGTCCTCATCTAAAAAGGAACACAATAATAGCATCTTCCTCACAGGGCCACTATGAAGAATAAATGAGTTCATATATGCAGATTACTTAGAACAAGGTATGTGGGCACTAAATATTTGCTATAATTAAGGTGATGATACCTTTTCCCCATTAAATCAACCAGTAGAAACAGTAATATTAAAAATATTTCCAAGTGTAACTACAGTGAACTTGAAATAAGGGAACTTTGAAGAGTAGAAGACAGGTAAGAGTTTACAGAACAAACAAAAAAAGTAGAAGAACCCTAAAGTAATGGTGCTTCCTCTCCATGGTTGAGCAGAACAAGTACAGACAAAAAAAATATTATTTCACAAACAGGATAGCTTCCAGCTCTACATGTTCTATTATATTCCTCTTGAAAGCTCATTATTTTTACTTCGTGTTTCAGTTCTAAAGGCACAGCAAGTTTAGCGCAGATGTTTCTGGGGCTTTCCGTCATTCTATATACTATTAATTCTATACATATAAGCCTTGCACAGGCTTATCACATGCAGGTGCAAAGAGAAGTGCCTATCTCACTCACGAGATATAAACTTCCATGAGGTAATTCTGTGCATGCCTTGCTCACTGAAAAGATGATGAGATCATTTTTAGGTGTGACTTAATTATCTCTTACACCTTAGCTAGAAAGCTGTACTTCCAGTGTCATCCTGAAAAAAACAACTGGTATACAAGGAACCTTGGAGAGTGGTTAAATTTGTAATATGCACAATCTCAAAACAGGTCTTGTGGCCCACTTAAATGTAAGCCAAGTCTTTGTCGGACACTTCATCATAAAAACTGAAGTGACATGTGAGTGGAGCTCCAACTATCAGACATAGCTGCTGGCACTGGCCTGGGAGGTCAGAGAATTCTTACTAGATGGAGAGCACTAAACCATTCAAGATAAAGCCTCCACATACAAGCTGCTCAGAACCAACAAATTTTAAACTTTCCAATCAGCTCTGAACCAGCAGGAAGGACAGATGAGACACATTTCAGATATACTCAATCATCCTGATCCAACCAAGAGGGGCCTGAGCATTCACCAACTATTTGTTCTCTCAGATGCAATGGATCTCCACCCTGGCGCACAGACTCCCTCTGCAGCCATTCCAACACACCCTCCCATCCCAGGACCAAAAATTCTCCATGTCCTCATCCTCCTTCCAGAGCTTTTCATCCTGCTGAGGGCACTCTTTCCCTGAAGCCCCTTGAGCAGAAGATGTTCCAGTGAAGACTCACATGTCTTGGAATCTGAAGCTGGTAGTACTTCTGACACTTTATGCCTCTGATGCCGTGTTAAAACATTCACTCATGAAATTCATGCCATTTGGCTACACTGCCTTCTGACTCTTCCCTCAATAAAGCTACCAACCTCTCAGCCACAACCCTCACCCTCTGAAGAGGTGAGCAGTTAGCTTATGGTATCCATCTTGGCCTTGGCTCTGCCATTATCCATCTTCAAAATCTCAGCACTGAGCACAGATGCATTGTCTTCTCAGTCCTTTACTTCCCAGCATGAAATGGCCTCCTAGCATTAGCTCTACCATTAGCTTCTACTCCCATGGCTCACTCCCTGGTCTTTTCACCCCCAGAAACTCCAAGACAAGCACCTTACACACTGATCAACCTGTCGTGAGGCAACTCCAACAGTCTAAATGTCACAAGTCTCTGAAGCTTTCTCATGCCCACCATCTCCCACACTCCCCACCACTCACCACCCTGTCTATATTGCATTTCCAAGCTGGGGTAAACATAGGGTCTATCACCTCATCTAAAATAATGAACATTTAACTCTCTCCTCCTCCATCATCTTACCTCAAACAGTGTACCAACACAAGAACCTCCCTCTATAACACTCCATCTAAGATGGGTTTTGAGCATCTAGTCAACTAACAGCCCCAACCCTGGGTTGTTTGGCCCTTCTGTAAACATCTACAGCACTTTGTCATGACACATACTGCAGTAATCATTCTACATGGTAATTCCTTATTCTGCGTGGCTCCCAGAAGTTGAGAGCTGAGCCTTTCACTACTGTATCCACACAGCCTACTTCAAGACTTGGTTCAACACAGTCAAATACATGCTTTGGAAGTGATTAAAAAAAAAGAGAGAGCAGACAAGCTCAAAAGCTGATTCTCATGAATAGCAACCATTAGCAAAATAAGATCCAAAAGATACCAAAGAAATATAAGAAATGACACATTGGGACACTGATTTATACAGAATTTCAAAAGTTGTCTGGCAAAATATATCATAATACAAATGAGGGCTGCTATAAATTCACAAATCATTTAAAAATCATTAACAGGGAGAAAGAGCAAAATCATTTTAACTTAATTTTTTTGTGTGTATGAAGAATAAACATTAGTTCAAAAATAACTGATTTTAAATTGCCGATGATTCAATTAAAATAACTGTACTATAAAATCCTAATTTGTGGGGTGAGGAAGAGAAGCAGAGAAATAAAGAAGTTAGAATGAATCCCCACTTAAGTCCAGAGGATAAGCTAGAACTGATTGTCCCCCTAAATCTGAAAAATTAAGACCATTGATATTTCAAGCAAGAGGTAACAAACATCTGATACAATAATGGAAATCCAGGAAAAACTACCCCAGCATCAGAAATAATAGGTACTTCCTTTCTAAATTTAGGTTCACAGACAAACTTGAACTCCCTAAATGCAGTATCTGTATTTGCACGCTCTACTCCATAAAAATGGAAAGAAAAAAATAAAGACTGAAATCAGCATTGTTTTTCAGCATAGAAATGTTTTACCTGCATGAGTTTGGTGTCGTGTCCAGTATAAACAACTATGCCAAAGACCCACTGAGTATTTCTAAGCTGTGTACCTCTTAATAAGATCTGGTCAGGCCCAAGGGGAACAGGGCTAAAAATAAGAAACAACATTTATATTTAATGATAGTTTGATAAATGAGCATGAGCTTTCCCCCTTAAACATAAACCCACAATTAACCAATTAATTCGATCATATCTTTTAGTCAAATTTGAACTGTTTCACTGAGACATAGGAGCAATAAAGGTTACCACTGCCTTCATCTACCAAAAAAAAAAAGACCCACAAAAATATTTTATCCTATCAATTCATCACTACAAAAAAAATATATGTATATATTATTATCATATATTGTTTTCTTAGAAAATGTTAGAGGGATTTGTATTCTTTTATAACCTAGTTATAGAACTCCACACCCAAAAAAGAAATTGCTAAAATAACCAGAAGCTTATTCATTTAGAAAACTCAGTTTAGTTTTTAGACTATAAAGCTAGAATATCAAATTTGTCAAGGATGACTTAATGGTTAAATAAAGGGCTGAGTGATAATTTAGAAATTCAAAATGGCTCTGCATGCTAAATGAAAACCAAGAAAGCAGTCACAACTGCCATAGTTATTTTGGGTTGATTCCCACAGTCAGGTCCTTCCCTTTGGGTCTGTTCAAAATATAAAGGTGGGAAGAATCGGTAAGGAGCATACAGATTAAAGACAGGCAGAAGGAAGAAACTGCACCCCAACATAATGACAAAAATGACTCTCCAACAATCAAACAAATGCCAAGAGGACGAAGACAACAGAATAGAGACCACAGGGCAGTGAATATTCCAAAGGAAGAGTAATTGCTGTTCCTTCCACTCAATAAAAACAAATGCTCTTAGAAGAATGCTAGCCAAAGGAAAAAAAAGATATTTCTCTAATAAACAGATTAGCTCTTATAGACCTGACATGCTTCCCTTCTGCTTTTCTAGAAAGTTTTATGCAGCCCAAACCACCTCTCCTTCCTGGTAGGTAAATACACACAGAAAAACAGTCAGTGCCGATAATCTCATTACAGACCCAGGCTGTTTTTATTGACAAAAATCAGTTTTTTCCTTAAATTTAAGGGAAAAAAGGTTTATATTGATGGAAATTGTGCTTCAGGAAAAGCTCAGTCTCTCATATCTAAGCTAAACCAAGAAATTTCACAGTTTTAAAATATTATGAAATCAAAAAAACAAACTGATATTTTACCTAGGTTCCCGTAATTCCTGGTCCCATTTAAGAACTAACTAACTAACTAACTAACTAACTAACTAAATAAATAAATAAATAAATAAAACGAAGAAAAACTAAAGTGTTATTACCTTTTCCCATCAACATGCAGGTTTCCAGTGAAGTCATAGAGGTGGCGGTTGGGTCCCTCACATTCTATAGTTCCAGATAACTTCATCAATACTTCCCTTGTTTGCATGTCAGCAGTGTGACTTAAACCCTAAAACATTAAACCAAAAGAGGAAACTGAATACAATCTTCCAGGGTTAAAGACAACATTCAGCATCCCCATTGCTAATCCAAAGGAAATAATGTATCATCTAAAACAGGAGTAACTGGGAAAGCTAACAAATCAAGCTCACAGACCCTCAATATAGACTTCCAGGCAGCCTTTGCCACAGCACCTAATGTAAAAGTTTACAAAGAATTTAATGAAGTGCAAAGATCCTCCCACTATGTTGGGAACATCCATGTTCAAGGAACCACATACTCAAGCACCTTGCACAGAGCACTCTATTAGCTCTACTTTAATACAAACACAAAAACATTTATAAAAACAGAATAAAGAATTCTTTTAATATAGTATTTTATTCATATCAGTATTATACTAATACTTAGCAATTCTTTAAACAAACAAACAAACAAAATCTACCTAAATCAAGTATCTAAGGTAGAAAAGAAAGACAGGTGCACAGAACTATCAAATTCAACTTTATGTAACAGAAAATTTAAATGCCAAGTGCTTAAAATTCATATTATAGTAAAGAACATTTTTCATTCTAGAATTAAAATATATAGTAAGAACAGCTTTAAGGCTGTACTTCTATATAGAAATTTTGTGTCTAATACATTACTCTCTAGAATTAAAGTCTCAGTTACAACAACAATGTAAAGTAAGGTGTCCAGAGCTTGTCTAGAGCATCTCTCCATATAGCTGATGCCTTTTTCACCACATGGCTCAACCTAGATGATGGGATCTCTTTCCCCCTGCACTAACAGACACAGATCTAAGACATAAATTAAGGCAAGATACCCTTTGTAATCCATACATGAGTGAAGCTCACTTTTTCTAACTCTGCTGTCCCTCTCAAGGGGTTCCCATCATACTAAAGGCACGTGCTTCCCATGGGTTCCATTACGGTTAAGGCATAACTCTAACAGACCATTTTTCTCTAGAAAAAGACTAACTAGTACAGCAGACCAAATTCACAGCTTGGACCTCCATAACAACACAAGTCATAAAAGATTACTTTACCTGACGTATTTTAAGGTTCGTCTCCCCATCTAGATTAGCTGTTTCAACATAACACATTGCCTGAGGTTCACTATGGAGAGAGAAATTTAAAAAGTCAAAGTTTAGTAATGTCTCCTCCACAAATTCATAGCTCACAAAGTCTCTACCATGGAAATTGTGTCTGCTGACTGGCCTTCAACAACCTTTGTAGTAAGTGACCAGAAAGACACTCGTCTCTGAGGCTCAACACCAACACAAAGTTGTTTGCCCCATGATCCACCTTTATGGCCCCCATATAATGGCAACTTGAACTTAGGTAGCAGAAATAACTGAAAAAGAATGAGAAGAGGACTGGTGGGTTAAGGGAAACACAGTATGTGCCAACTCAGACCCCACTACTGTGTTTGAGTGACACTTAGAGTCTGAGACTTGGCCTGCTCCTGACCAAAAGAGCTACCCTAGACACAGCTGGTACAAACACATCCTTTGAAAAACATTACAGCCAGAGTTCAGGAATGAAGACACAGGCTTGGCAGGCTTTGTCTTCCTGGCACCTTCTACTATGTCAACAGGTAACTTTTTTTAATCAAAACGCCTAATTTTAAGGACAGAACACTCGAAGAATAACAATAAGCATGACAGGGGTGCCTGGGTGGCTCAGTTGGTTAAGTGTCTGCCTTCAGCTCAGGTCATGATCTCAGGGACCTGGAATAGAGCCATGTTGTCAGGCTCTCTGCTCAGCGAGGAGTCTGCTTCTCTCTCTCCCTCTGCCACTTCCCCTGCTCATGCTTTCTTTCTCTCTCAAATAAATAAAAAAATCATTTTTTTTAAGAAAAGCAATAATAATGGCAGATACTGTGTATTGCTACCTCCAATCATCGAGGTTAGATGCAGAGTTAGTGGTTAAGAGAATGGAGTTTGCAACCCACTGGCTAAGTTAAAAATCCCCTACTGCTACCTTTATAAGCTGTATGGACTTGGAAGTTGTTTAATATCTATTTTCTCGTGCATAAAGTAGGGATGGCAAGGGTTTGGAGGAAGATTAGATGGGATGATGTACTCAGCGGACTGCTTAGCACAATGTACAGACTCAAACACTAATAAGCATCCTGAAAACACCCTATCCACTCAAACAAACTCATATTAGAACTAGGTTTTCTGAGGGTTACAGTGAAAACTCATACACCAAACTGTCAAGTGATCCACATTTCACTATTTCTGTTGTTACCAATCAATAGGGATAAATATGAGTCCTGCTGTATGTATATGGTGCTTTTCCTTCTTTATAGGCCTGGGATCCTATTTTTAAACCTTTTATCTCGAGCAGAAAATTCATGCTAAGGCATTAAAAAAATGTAAAATCAAATCCAATGAAAGAAACACTGTCTGCATTCAAAGAAAATGCCAACAGTATGAGTATCTAGGATTCCCAGCAGCATATAAACACAGAAGTTTTAGTCTTAGCATAAAATTTAATTTTGAACTCATAAAAAGAAGTTTATTCATGTCCTAATTGTAGCATACCCTCTTTGATATATACTTTTATATATCAAGCCAAGGAAAAGTCAAGGACTGCACGGTCCATTATTCATGTCACTTAGTGATTGGTGATACCTTTGCAGCACAAAATTACCTGGAGAACATAGCAATAGCCCTTGGGCATAAAGGGGGACACAGAGTGGACGAATGAAGGGAGAACACCAACTGCAGGTCATGTCTAGCCTGCAAACATGGCCCAGATCTCTGAGCAGTTAGTAAAGGAGTCCCTGGCTCCATGGGAAGTCTCCTAGCTGGACCCACCAGGAGACTGGTTCTCAAGCCTCAGAAAAGCTGCATGCCATCCCGTGTTACTGATGGACTCACTCCACTGCTCTGGAGCATCACATGAATGAAGAATAGCCTAGAAGCCCTATGAGACTAAAATAAATCAATAAATCTAAGTGTTCTACCAAAGCACAAGGGAATGAATGGGAGAAAGAAAGGTGGGAACAAAAAGGCAAATGACAAGTAACAGAAGAACCCTCCAGAGAGAGAAAACTGGTGCCTGGGGGTTGGAAAGAAAAGAGGTGCTTGTGATTCCTGTAGTCACCATCTAATGCTTAATTGTTCTTCACATTTATTTCAAACACTGTGCCCGCTCGCACACCTGACCTGGAGGAAAGCAGGGCCATGTCTGCTGGGAGGTACTGCCCATTGATGACCTTCACAATGTCTCCCACGGCCACCTAGAAAACCAGGGACAAGGACAGAGGAGCATGAAAAACAAGAATGCACAGTGATTAAGGGGGCTAACTATTTGAAGAAAAAATTTCTATATAATTATGTCATGAAGCTTAAGACAGAAGCCCAAAATATTTTCCTTGACAAGAACAGAAGGAAAATATTTCAGTACAAATGGTAACACTGCCTTTCTGCTATGACACTGAATGAAAAACAAAACAAAACAAAAAAACAGAAAAGGAGAGCAAGAAAAAAGGAGAATCAGAACAACTATTAAGGTTTCATTTTGTTACGGTTATTCCATCCACTTGCAAATTCCACTCTGGAACTCTGGAACAATCCTACAGCTGTCCACAGTAGGGGAGAGTGGTTAAGTGCACAGCTCCAGAGCCAGCTTGAATGCTGGGCTCAAGTACCCCAGCTGGACTCTTTGCTAGTCCTGTGTAACCCGGAGCAAGTTATGTAAACTCTGTGTGCATCAGTTTTCTCATCTATATATAAAAAAAGGTTGACATCACATATTTCATGCAGTGATTGCAAGGATCAACTGAGTTAACACATATATTTTCTCCATTTTACAAATGGGTAGACTGAGACTGAGACTCAAAGAGAAAGAATTTGATCAAGGTCACACAGCCAATGAGTGTTAGGCCCAAGATTCAAAACCAAGCAACTAGCCAGTGGTCGATTATACGGCAATACTAAATTCATCCAACAACAGTGCATTTAAGAGGTCCCCTGGAAATACACCTCTTAAAACAGAGAAGATTTGTACAGCATCAAGAACTTGCCTAAAAAAAGAGTCACAGCCAAAGTCAGAGACCACCTAGGGAAACAGCATAGGTGCTTAAAAAAAAAAAAAAAAAAAAAAAAAAGCCTTAACCTGCTGAACATGAACACTGTGGCCAAGGGTTTGTAAATGCTTTAAATGACATCACAGAAGCACCCAGTTAGGTAGAATATGAGCTTTCAAGTCAGGCAGGCTTAGGTTCAAATCCAAGCTTCACAGACACACTAGCCTTGGGATCTTGGCAAGCCCTTCACCTCCCTGAGCTCCAGCGTCCTCACTTATAAAATGGAGAAATATCAATACTTACCTGTAGGCCTGGTGCAGTGATAAAGGAAGCATATGCAAGCACCGGGAATGAAACAGGCATGTGCTAACTGCTAGTCTCTACCAGCAGGAGTGTAACCAAATGGACACTAGGAGTGTGAAAGAGAGGCCATGATTCTCAGCACAAGAATAAAGGCTGTTCTCACCACACAGGAGTAGTTCAAAACTCAAAATGGGCATCTAGGCCTTGCTTCTTATTCTAACACAAGTTACTATTCTCTCAGAAATCAAGAATTTCAAACAGAATACTTATGAAATACTTATGAAAGTAATATCTATGAAAGACTACTGGATCTTGTAAGGTAGGAGAATGGGCCTGGCAGGTGCCTATATTTAACTTTTTATTAGGAAAAAGGAAGGTTTACTAAAAAGATCTCCTGCTAGTGCTTTGAATCGTTTATCAAAGCATGTATGTAGGGAAGTCAGGAATTAGGCTTGATATTAGAAGGGGGGGGTATTAAATTCCAGATCCACTGTACATTTGAAGTTAGTATCAACTTAAAGGCAAAAAGAAGGTACATAAGTATATTCCATATTCTACAATAAAGAGAATATCAGGGAATAGAAGCTACAGAGCTATCTTAACAACCACCAGTACAAAAGCAAGGAATGCTTAGGAAAATTGAAAATGTTTTTAAATGTAGAAATATTTCATGTGAATAGTTTAATTACATAGAAAAATCAGAAGAAGCAGTTAATTAAAAACTAGAAAGGAAAATTGGTCATGTTTTCCAAAGAAAAAGAGCAGTGGATTTTTTGCTAATTCAGTGGGAGGACAACGGAAATTATGGCTTTCTCCCATCTTAGTTATTTGAATAAAGAAATATTCATATCCCAGTAACAAAGTACTAAGAAGTTTCATGTGCATAAAAAACTACTTAGCTGGAAACATTTTTGAAAATGATTTTCTATTTGGCGTTCTTGGGCATGGTTGTCCCTTGAGTGTGTGAACTTTCTCGAGTGAGAATTCCTAAAGGTGAGAAGGAGCCCCTTCTAGATCCCTGAATCCACTCTAGCCTCAGAGGATTTCTCAAGCTTCTTCATTTTGAAAAATAAGCTCAAAGGTCTTCTCAAAGTCAAGCAAAGCTATCGAGCTGCACTAAAGAACTGCCTCCCAGCATTCACTAACTATCCCGCTATAGCCCAGGGGATTGCCAACTCGAGCTTTAGCATTTCAGATTAGAGCTGTATCACTTTAGGAAGCTTAAAGATAGCCAGGTCCACCTTGCCTGACATCTCTGGTGTTTGATATCTCTCATCGCCTGTCTTCTCCCATATTCTCATCCTTGTTTCAAGCCACCCTGCAGATGTGCCTGGCTTTCCTTCCCAAACACTTCAGACTTTCACCCACTTCCCTCTGTTTTGAATAGCATTTCCCTTAAGATAGTTACCCCTCATTCATCCTTCAAAAGAACACCAGAACATCACACAAGGGAAGCCTTTGCTCATCTGAACTGATGGGTCTAGGCTGGTCGTCCTTCCCATATGTTCCAAAAGCACCTGAAGCATGCCCCTACCCAGAGCTCAGCACCTGCACTGCATTCTTTCCAGCCGCCTGCCACTCCCACTGCATCAGCGGTTTAGGGGTGTAATCCCTGGACCAGCAACATCGGCTTCACCTAGGAACTTGTTACAAATGCAAATTTTAGGGCCCAATGGAACTCCCAAAATCAGCCCACATAGCATTCATTGTTAGACCGGCTAGTCAAGCAGATGGGATGCCCAGCGAAGGCTGAGAACCACGGTAGGCAGCTTCTGAAGGGCAGGGGCCGTGCTTTATTTAGTTATGCTTTACTGCATCTCCAGTACCTAACACTGTCTCTAGGACATACTAACAGTTCTATTTAAATGAACAAAAGCATTTTAGTTGAAATAAAAATATACATGACAAAGCATATAACAGGTATTGAGTTTGGGATTTTTTTAACTTCAAATGTGGGAAGTGGTAATGAGCCTTAGGAGTCTGTGAGGCCATCAACTCCTCAACCCAGAATTCAGAGATTATCACTCCATTTTCTACTGTTTCAAAGAGTGCAAACATCCCAAATCTAAATCATTCTTTACTCTTACCACTGTTCATACCTTTCTGGGCATGAGGGTGGCAGGAAGAACTTAGAGAAACAGAGGCCATTCCTAAATGCAGTGGGAATCCTTGAACCCTCATAGCACTGGAAGCATTTCTAACTTCTGTGAGGTCAAGAATTTCCAACCACCTGACCAGGAACCAGAGACTTCCAAATAAGAGGAAGGTCAATAAGTATTTGCCTTATAGGACTTCAAGACTGCTATCAAGGTTAAGGTGTTATCATGAAACACTATAAAGAGACTTCATAATTCTCTTAAACAAAACAAAACTAAACCAAGGGCTGTAGTTACTGTATCACAGGCATTTTGCAGAGTAAAAGACCATAGAAGCATTTTTAATTGCTGCTTATTAAATGGTTAGCAAGAGAAACTATTGTTAAGTGAGGCTTCAAAAAGAAATTTGTTTTCAAAATCATGTTAATCAGCTTCAAATACTGAAGTCATTAGAGTCACTCTCCAAAAAAACCTTGTGACCATTAAGAAAGTCCAGGTAAAACAGAGGCTCACTTAAAAAGCTAACTTTATCAGATACAAGACACCCAGATGTCACAAGCATATTTCTTCCACCTTTTCTACTCATCACTATAAACAACCAAAAAAAACCTCAAAATAAAACAAAACAAAAAAACCCTCATCCATCCCCAAGCCCTCCAAACCTCATGTTTCCAGGGACGTGGAGGCAAACCCTTCTCACTACTGTAAAGAGCAGTGACAGCTGGTCATAACAACCAATTTCAGGTTCCACACAGGATGGTTTCCAAGCCTATTTCACCCTTGCTTACATTTCACAGTAATCCTAAACCCAAAACTCTTCCCACCAAAAACATTAGAAGTCAGGTTCTGGGCAGCCTGGGTGGCTCAGTGGTATTAGCGCCGCCTTCAGCCCAGGGCCTGATCCTGGAGACCCAGGATCAAGTCCCTCATCAGGCTCCCTGCATGGAGCCTGGTTCTCCCTCTGCCTGTGTCTCTGCCCCTGTTTCTCTCTGTTTGTGTCTCTCATGAATAAATGAATAAAATCTTTAAATTAAAAAAAAAAGTGAGGTTCTCCAAAGTTAGAAAATCTTTTAAAAACTTGATTTAGATTAGTCTAAGAGAAGACCAGGGAAAAGATTTCTTGGACTGGAATTGGAAACTAGAGAATGCTTTGATATTTCGGAAATATCCATCAAGGAGCAACAAATTTCACAACTGTGAACGGAAACAGTAAGCACTTTCCAGAAGAAGCAGGGAAACCAAGTCAACATGCAGTGGTTCTACCTAAATCTCATGGGAATCTCCACAATGTAAAATTTACATTAGGGATGACCAATGTCTTAACTCGAGCTTTATCTACTGCAGTCAATACTAGCAATTAATTACAAGTACCCAAACCTGTACTTTCTGCAGATCTTTAAAATTAATTTTTACCTCTTTCCACATAATGGTATGCCACATACCATTTCTTAACACTGAAAAAGAAAAAACAATGTACCAGTTAATATTGGTGACAATTAAAATAAATCAACTTTCCAAAATCTAAAAGGCTCCTTTCAAAATTCCACTTATTAATTCCAACATACCATATCTTGTGACATAAAGGCATACCACAGCAGTCCCCAAAATGGAACCCCAAGCCATGTACCATATATACATTAATGCATACACATAAATATAGGTATATGCATATAAGTTAAATCTAGCTATTTTTATCCCAGAAGAAAAATATCACCCTATTGTTACAAGATTAAATACATACACACAACACAGACCTAAAAATCAATACAATAAAAAATAGAGGTAAGGAGCAATTATAAACCGAGGATGTGAATGCATGGACTTTTTATAGACCTAAAATAGGCCTGAAAATTCCACCTTTTCCAAACTTCTAAAAGACACAAATTCCATTCAAAGCTTCACAGACAGGACTCACATTTTGTTGGACTGGTTTGTAATTTTTGCTATTTCTTTAAAATATTTTATAGATCATTTCCCTCAACTTACCTCAATATCATTAGCTACTTATTTAGAATGCCTTAAGTTTTCTAGCAGAAAAAGTGATTCAGCCTGGTGTCTTACCTATCGTTTTCTTTTTGTTCACTGCATTGTCTGCCTTATGCCGCTTCTGTTATGAAAAAAAAAAAAAGAAAGTTCTTAGATTCAAAAGTTCCAAATGAATAACTGAAATAGCAACAACAGATCAGGAAAGAAACAGGACTCAAGGAAATGGACTAGCAGCAATGGTAAGGCTGCAAGACTCAACTTAGAGGTCTGTGACCCAGCAGCCTCACTAATCCACAAACAAATGTAGCAAACATGGATGCAGTCTACGCTAGTGTCAACCATGACATTTTGGCTCCAACAAGGAACAAGCACTCTGAAGTATGAAACTTTTCACTCCTTATTTGTTTAAGATGAGACTAAAAGAATTATTCAGGATAATAAACCCAACAACAACTGAATTCATTTTATTGGTAAAGAATTTTGGACGTAAAGTACCTTTGAATTGCATTCCATTTATTCACCTATTCCCAGAAAAATGTATGTATGTGTGTGAGCGTATGTGTGTGCGTGAGAAAGAGAGACACAGCGACAGAAAGAGAGACACAGTGTGGGGGAGGGAGAGAGAGAGAAAGAGGGAGAGAGAAAGGGTGGAAGGAGGGAGGGGTAGGGAGGAAGAGAAAGACCCTGCAGACAAGACCACAGATAGGAAAAAGGGAAGAAAGCACGAATATGGTTGTAGCCAATGAACCTGGAGATACACCAAGATAAGTCTGAGGGGAGACAGGACTCATAAAATGACCTCAGGCACAGCCAGCCCAATGCTGTGATACTAGGCAGCAATACCATCCTTTTGCTACCCAAATTAGCAAGCTGTAAAGAAGGATATAAGGAACATCAGTAATAAAAACCAAAGAGGGTTCACAGAGCTAACATTTGAAAACACAGTCTGAACTACTGAAATACTATCTAAGTATTTAAGACACTGTGTGTACATGTCCCTTCCCCTAAAATGTCATCATGAGCCTTGAGAAGTCAGTTAAGCTATTGACCAATTTCTTAACTTCAATGAAAAAAACCAAAGCAACAAATAAGTTACAAGTTATGTTCAATACAATGTTTTTATTATATGAAAGCAAAAACTTACAAAATCTTCTACAATTTCTTTGATGCCTGCAATTGTTAAAATAATGATCAATGGCACCAGGGTGGTATATCTTCCTGTTGGAGATACATCTGGAATTTGCTGTAAGACAAGAGACCAAAAGAGGGAAGTTGACAAATTAAAATTTTTCAATCAAAATCCTCCCTACAAAAAAATATATGACACCACTCACTTTTTGGAAATTCTGTTACATTTCTGTTATACCAAAGTAATTATCTTCTTTTTAAAAACTAGCTACACATTTTACATATCTTAAAAATTTTATCTAATATTGTATATCTGTTTAGAACTGAAAAGGGGTTAAAATTATGACTGTATGGTAATTTTTCAATGCCTCTTTTAGTAACTGCAATTATCCTTATGGCAAGATCTAAAGAAGTCAGCCTTTATGCAGAGATCATGTCTGTGCATGAAAAAGATGTTTGGATGAGGGGACAAATTACATTTAAGTATTATGACGTTTTTTCAGTTAAGCGACCTTTTAGCAAAATCTCATTTTGCATGTAATTAACCTTATGAATTTTAAATAACTTCTTTAAAAACATTACCTGTAATAAGGCAATGAAGAGGAAGAAGGCATTAGCAGCTCTTCTAATCTGCTCATACAAGAATCGAGGTAGAAATGTCAACACACTGTACTTGGCCGTACTAGAAGTATAAAGAAAAATACTACTATCAGCTACAGATGTAAATTCTTAAAAGAAAATGAAAAGTTTCAAGAGTTTTACAAGTGGTTTTAAGAATAAAATATTTCAGAATCATGACAAGAAAATTGCTATGCTGGCCCTGTCCCTCAAAGATTTAGTAAAAGGACACACCTGACAAGAAAATCTTCTAAGTTTTCAAACTTAGATATATTTACTATTCACACAGTATAAGCAGAGAGATTTACCCACCTTCCAGGAGCTACAGTACGCATATCAAGAATATTTGTTAGGGTGCCTGGGTGGCTCAGTCAGTTGAGTGTCCGACTCTTGTTTTGGCTCAGATCATGATCTCATGGGTTGTGAGATCAAGCCCCATGTGGGGCTTTGTGATCAGCAGGAGCCTAATTGAGATTTTTTTCTCTCTCCTTCTCCCTCTGCCACTCCCCCTGCACCTGCTCTCTTTATCTCGCTAAAATAAATAAATCTTTTTTAAAAAAGAATATTTGTTAAAGGAAGATATGCTTCAAGAATCCCAAAACAGAAAGAGGTACACATTCCAAATATAGCAAAAGACACGAACACTGAAACAGAGTGAGAGAGAAACACCAATTGAGTGATTCACACAAGCAAGTAGAATTATTCTAGGGTTTGTGATGTGTAACAATTCTTAATATAAAGCCACTGATTCAATATAGCAAGTCAACTCCATAAAGGATGCCCTGGGTCCCAGGCATATGTATAACAGGTCAATGTGTCCCTCCAGATACCTACCAGGGGTGTTTTTTTGTTCAACCACACCCGAATAAACTCTATTCCTATCACACCCTTTGCTCATGCTTGTTTGGAATTTTTTTCCAGTCTTATTGAGAAATAATTGACATACATCATTGCATAATTTCAGGTGTACAGCAGGATGATCTGATTTACATAACTGTGAAATGATTACCACAGCAGGTTCAGCTAATATCCATCTTCTCACATGGGTACAAAAAAAGGGGGGGGGGAATTTAACTTTCATATATATCATACAGTAGGGGCAGCTACTGCATCATATTGTATATTACATTCCTTGTACGTATTTATCTTACAACTCAAAGCTGTACTTTGTATCACCTTCCCACCCCCCACCCCACCTTCCACTTCTGGGAATCATAAGTCTTATCTTTTTCTATGAGTTTGGGTTTGTTTTGTTTTGTTTCTTTAGATTCCATGTTTGAGACAGGTCTTTCCATTCTGATTTCCTTAGTATGTCTTCAAGGTCTGCCCATGTTGAAAATGAAAGGATTCCCTCATCTTCTATGGCTGAGTATTATTCCACTTTATGAATATATTACAACCTCTCCAATCCATCAATGGACACTTAGGCCGTTTCCAAGTCTTGGCTATTGTAAACAATGCTGCTATGAACGTGGTGGTGGAGATACTTTTTAAGTTTGCGTTTTCATTTCCTTTGAATATATTCCCAAAAATTGAACCGCTAAATCATAGGGTAGTTCTATGTAATTTTTTGAGGAAACTGCTTACTGTTTCCCATAGTGGCTGTACCAGTTTACAGTCCCACAAATAGTGTTCCCTTTTCTCTACAACAATGCCAGCATTTGTTATCTCTTATCTTTTTGATGATGACTATCTCAACCATGATGTGATAGATCCTACTGTTTTAATTTGTATTTCTCTAATGACTAATGATGCTGGGCATCTTTTCATTTGCCTCTTGACTTTTCATATATCTTCTTTGGACAAATGTCTATGCAAGTACTTTGCCCATTTTTTAAATAGATTGTTGTTTTTGCCATTGAGCTGTATGAGTTCTTTATATATATTACATATTAGCCCTCTATCAGATATATGGTTTGCAGATACTTTTTCCCATTCCAAAGGTTTTCTTTTCATTTTATTGATGGTTTCTTTTGCTGGGCAGAAGCTTTCTAGTTGTATGTAGTCCCACTTTTTATTTTGTTGCTCGTGCTTTAGATGTCACATCCAAAAAAATCATCACCAACACCCATTCAAGGAGCTTTGTTCCTATGTTTTTTCCTAAGAGTCTCATGGCTTTGAGTCCTCTGTTTTAGTCTTTAATCTACTTCAAATTAATTTTTGTAAATGGTGTAAAATAAGGATCCAGTTTCATGCTTTTACACGTGAAAATCCAATTATCCCAGCACCATTTATTGAAGAGACTGTCTTTTCTCCCTTGAGGATTCTTGGCTCCCTCTCCAAGTATCAGGGGACCATATAAGCTTGGGTTTATTTCTGGGCTCTTGATTCTGTTTTGTTGGCCTATTTGTCTGTTTTTTTTTTATGCCAATACCATACTGTTGTGATGACTATGGCTTTATAGTATTTGAAATCAGGAAGTGTAATACCTCCCACTTTGTTCTTCTTTCTCAGAATTTCTTTAGCTATTTGGGGTCTTTAGTGGTTCCACATAATTTTAGCAGTGTTTTTTCTACCTCTGTAAAAAAATGCTGTTAGAATCTTGATAGAGCTTATGTTGAATTATAGATGTTCACATTTTTGCTTGGGGACATCCTCTCTCATCTACATGGTCTCTCCATAACTAAACTGCCCTTCCCATTTTACTCTCCCATTCAAACATATCTTCCATTAAGTTTGATAAAATCACAAAGACTCTTCTTCCTCTAAGTCCACAGGGTGGTATTTACGACCAGACATTAACTGGTCTCTGCTTTGTTTTGTATTTTATTTATCTATCCCCAGAATAGATTCTGGGAACATTAAGAATGCTTACTTCGACTTTGTATGTTCCCACCACACAGCAGATAATCAATGAACAATGAAATAATCCAAAGGCATAAACTGAGAATCTGAAGGGGCAAAATAAACCATTCGTCTTTTGGCTGCTCAAAGATTTATCCATAAAAATACCTGCTTGACTCCTAGCTTGCCTTCTGAGGACATGATTCTGAGCCAAGCCCTAACTGAAGTAGATGGTAGCAAGATTACCTAGCAGGTTTCAAATACACAACAAATTAGAAGCACCAAAATAGAAGAGCAAAGGGTCTTCTTTTGCTTAAGGTATTAAATATATATATTAAAAAATATATTAAAACCACTATTAAGACAGTTTAAACTTAAAGATTCTGACACTTGAAAGGATATCACTAACTAGCTAGAAAATGTGTTTGCATGGAGCCCCTACTCACTTAGGAAGCCTTTGGGGTATAAGATGTCACTATAAAAAATTTTTTAAAGATTTTATTTATTTATTCATGAGAGACACACAGAGGGAAAGGCAGAGACACAGGCAGAGGGAGAAGCAGGCTTCCTGTAGGGACCCCAATGTGGGACTCAATCCCAGGACCCCAGGATCATGACCTGACCTGAAGGTAGATGCTCAACCACTGAGCCCTCCAGGCATCCCAACACTGTAAAATTTTGCCAGACAGAAGAAACTGGCTCAAATCAAGCTTATTAAAGTGTAGGGAAAATATATCAAATTCATGTACATAATAAGCTCATGGTACAAAGTTCTATGCATTCCTTTATGGTGTACTGACCATTGAAATAAAGCAAACAACATTTATCATAAAGAAAACATGAAAATTCACACACTCTAAGACTAGAAAGCATTTTATATGGCAGTTTGTCTATAATATTTGAACCCTACATTCCATCTGTACAAAACAGACACGCACACATACAGTTGGCACATGACCCCATCTATGTGCGAACATTTCTCACTTGAGTAAAGTACTAAGTGTGCTTAAATGTGTTTAATGGGACCCACATGTCTGAAATGCCATAAAATTAAAGGAGCAGAAAGAGATCCCATTTATGTGAGAAAACCAAAGATGGGGAAGGAAAGCATACTAACTTTTATTCTAGTTGAAATAGAAAAATGAGTCTAAAATATTTTCAAACTGAAATAGAATGAGCATAATCAATAATTTAGAGAAACTGGCATTCATCCAAGAGATGGCTACTGTATAGTAAAATAATAATCTTGATATACAACCTGATGTGTCCTGTTTAAAACACACAAAACTACAATCAGCTAAAGGCAGCACCCATCATTCTACCAGAAGAGTTTAGGATAGTGCTTCTCAAACTTAAAGATGCATACAAGTCACCTGGGGATCTTGTTAAAATTTATTAGAGTTCTTCAGATAAACAGGACCAACAAGAATGTATATGCAGAGAGAGAGAGAGAGATTGAGAGAGAGAGAGAGATTTTAAGGAGTTGGTTTACACGATTATGGAGGCCTGACAAGTATAAAATCTTCAGGGTGGGCTGGCAGACTGGAGACCCATGGGAAGATCTAGTGTTGCCTTTCATATGTCAGCAAAGCTGCCTGATGACAGAATTCCTTCTTATCTAGGACAGTCAGACTTTGTTCTATTCAGGCTTTTCAACTGACTGGATGAGGTCCGCCCACATCAGAGGGTCACCTGCTGCATTCAAGGTCTACCAATTTAAATGTTAATCTCATTCAAAAACACCTTCCCAGAAACATCTACAATAATGTTTGACCAACATCCAGGCACCATGACCAGTCAAGTTGCATATGAAATTAGCCATTAAATGTATATTCAGGCCCATTCTGAGTGGGCCTGAGATTTTTATTAGATTTCTAAAAAGTTCCAAGTGAAGCCAATGCTGCTGGCCCAAGGACCACACTCTGACCATCCTTGAACAGGTAAATCTGTCCAAATCTCCTATTTGAAGTCAATCCAGCTGAACACTATTAAGACATAAAAGGATAAGAGCCATTTACCATCCACTGTATCAGGGGAAAGAAATATTCACAGGGAATGAGTCACCCTCAAAAGATTCCCACTCAAACCACATATGTCAGCAAGCCTGCCGGCATGGCTGTTAACAACAAGGACAGGCTCTGGGTGCAAGCAGTCCTTGGTATTTAGCACATCTTAGAGCCTGGGAAAGGGGAACAAATGACCAGGAGAAAACAAGCATTTCCTGTGGTTCACTCAGGTTCCCTCTAAACATGTTAGACCAGTGTTTCCTGAAATTGAGTG